TCAATATTATGTAGTCTCGAAACTTCACATCAAAATATTACCATATGGAGTGATTATTAAAGCCTGCTCCTTTTGCTACCTATGCAGTAAAGAAACATGTAACGAGGCTTCTGTTGCGTAGCTAGATATTCTGTGGTATTATTTAAATTTAAGAGGAGGGGGGGGGGGCAAATAGACGCAACTAAAATTTTGTCGCCTACCCAGTCACACGGGTCACGAACCGCCACTGCAATAATGACAATAAAAAGCAAATATGAGTGGATAAGAGGGATTTTACCATCTCCAATGTATTTTTACAAGAAATTAATATAGGAATAGGCGAGTCCGTCCTGCAGTTAATCAACTATGTTTATGTATATTTTTAGAGTCCACTAAATTAAAATAAAAGTGCGAGCTTCTTTGTTGCTATCGAAGTATTAAAAAATTATTCATTTCGTATATGTTTTAGTATTATCCACCACATAATAAAAACCGGCGCCTCCACCACATATGTCACACCCCATTTTGTGGGTTATGACTAGGGGCATAGCAAATAATAAATACTTCAATTTAACTTAATGATCAATTTAATTAATCTACGAATAATAAAATAATTATAAAACTAAATGTGTACTTACATATTATATTTATGGACGAACATCATCACTGGCTCGAGGGGTAGTGTCAGGGTAGTGTAACGCCAATGCCGGAATCTCGACCGCGACCTTATCGAACTTACTATCGACTATCGACTGTCCCCCCCAACAGGTGACATTTTTGTATTTATTGGTTCGTTACGTCGAATCATCGAATCAGCATTATTGGTCTATCGGTGCGATGACCGGTGCGATGACCGCGTTAGTGCTGATTTGATGATTTTATAAATTCGTAGTATTGAAAGGAAATATTTTCGCAATTGCCAATTATGCTTATAACTTTGATTTTTAAAACTTTACTTTTGTTGCGTAAATGCCAATGAACTGAAACGAAATTTTAATTTCTTCATTTTTTCTTTTCTTATAAATATTTTAGGATCTGCAGATGCCTGATTCACTGTTACTATTTTATATGACTGTGTATATATTATACAATATGTCACACCCTTTGAATAAAAAGATTAAGGAAGGAGCATAATGCTATCCTATTCATGCATGGTGGGCGTAAAAAGGACTCTAGGGTAATAGTACGAGAGCTAGCAACGTCGGGAAAACAAGTATTTTAAGACGTCTGGCTCTTTGATATATCTTTTATTATGCTCTCTGGAACAGCATGCGGCCCGTCTGGCTGCCGATACCCGTTGCGTTCACTACTGCGCATCCAAAGAAGATCCTCTATTTTTTACTTAGCGCTTTAAATTCTAGTATTGAATAAAAGTCGAGTAAGTCTCCATTAGCTCAGCACGTAGAGCTTTCGCCGTAGAGCTCCTTTTTTAGTTTTACACTTAAATAAAATGAGAACGGCACTGATAAACCGGAATTTAAGTCGGCCATATTTGAGCCCCTTCGCGGTGGATCTAAGATTTTTGATATGTTCCTTAATCTTTTTATTCAAAGGTCACACAAGTGACCACACAACTGTCATATCTGACATTTTGGAAATTTTACAGTAGAGCGAAAAAAAAACGTATTTTACGTCTCACTGTCTTAACTGTAACGGGAAAGGCCCCTATATTGTAGGAGACAAAGTAAATGGAATATCTAAAAAATAATCTAAGAGTTTCTTGCCTTGAACTGCTAATATAATATATAGCCATATATGTATACCATATATTAGCAGTTCAAGGCAAGAAACTCTTATATAATTTTATTATATACCTAAAAACTGCAAGAAATTTATTTTCCATTATATAAAAAAATAATCTTTAGATCACTAAAAGATGTTTTTTTCGCCCTACTGCAAAATTTTCAAAATGTCAGTTAAGACACTTTGATCGAGGTAACGAAGGCGACGATATGATGATGAGGATGAACGGCGTCAGCGATGGATATGAAATGAAGATCGCTGTCATTTTATATGTAAAATTATATGGGGAATGTAATCGATCGTCATTTCCAGCCAGCTGGACGCCCCGCCGTTTTTAATTAAAACCTTTTTGTAAAATGGCGATTACTACCCTTACATTTTTCAAAATGAAATCAAATAATATATAATTGTTTAACTATTATACTTTTATATATTATGTATCCCCTCCTCATTATTTTAATTAGTTTGTTTTAATATGTTAATTATTTCACCCTATTATCGTTGATTAATGAAATAAGAAGATGCGCAACCTTTTGGGCGATTTCGTGGCACAAAACCTCCCCGAGATGTAGCTGGCGATACCGTCGCCGCTAGTCAACTTGTCTGAGATCTAGTTTAACTCTGTGCCGCTACGCGCAGATAGTCGTTTACAGCGCAGCGGATAAAGAATACTGTACCGTAGTCCTGCTTTCAGTCGACAGAGTGGTTGGTTGCCGAAGACCAGGGCCGGATGCTCCCGTGGTTCAGTTTTGGTTCGCGGCGCTCATGACGTGTCACTCACAGCTTGATTTATATTACCGGAATACTCATTTTGTACGTTTTTCTTCTGTAACGCGTTAATTTTTAGAGTTACAGAAAAACTTTAAATACAAAAGATATTTGTTATGGTTTATTTCATACTATGAGAGTATAAAATTTTTGAACTTTCTAAAAATTAGCTATTAAAACATATGATTATTGTTTTTTTGTTGTTTTTTAGAGTATCAGTCATGATTTTCCTGAAAATGGTGCAAGATACAGTAAAATTTCACACAGGTTATTTTGTAGAGCTAAAAATTTGCTTTTAGATTGGCTTTAGCGGAAATTAAATACACAAATGAAAACACAAAAACGTCGGGTTAAAGTGAAGTTTTATTTAATCAAACTTCAAACCTATATTTTTTTCCACCACCAATTTTATTCCTCAATACCACTGCTTACATAATATTGCGGGATCCAAGTAATACCGTATGAAAAAATACCGGCTTGGAAATGACGATCGATGACATTTCCCGTATAATTTTACATATAAAATGACAGCGATCTTCATTTCATAGCCATCGTTGACGCCGTTTTTATTCGATCATACGGTATATGCAGTAGGTATTAAAAAGTATCCCAATCAAAATCAATGCAAAACATTTAGATCACCTAAAAGTTGAGATATTTAAATTCACCTAGAGTATTTTGTAAACTAAATCAAATACCCATAGATACTAATGTAATATTTCGCTTTTAATAAAAATTGAACTGGCCTATATAATACCGTATGATCGAATAAAAATGGCGTCAGCGATGGCTATGAAATAAAGATCGCTGTCATTTTATGTGTAAAATTATATGAGGAATGTCATCGATCGTCATTTCCAAGTCAACTGGACGCCGTTTTTTTTCGATCATACGGTATAATAATAACAGTTTCTGGCTGCCGCGCGTATGACGTCACTCAGAGTGATTTCTATTATGGAGATAGGCCCGTGTACGGCATTTTCTCGGCAAACGCGTTTATTTTATTTTTAGATAAAATTTTAAATACAAAAGATTTTTTTAATGGTTAATTTTATAATTTAGGAATATAAAATTAATAGATTAAGCATAGCAGGTTGTCGTTAAACGTTTTAAATTTCCTTCAAGAAGTACAAGTTATGTTCTTTTTAAGGGTTTTGTCACAATTTTGGTGGAACAGGTGCAATTCCGTTTAGCCTGATTGTCGGAATTACACCCCACAACTACATACCGCCTTTTAATCGCTTAATATTTAAATATAGTCTATTAAAAATGTATAAAAAAATGTAAGAGATTGAACAAACAGCATAAAGCACACCGCTATCATAGCCAAAAATGTGAACAACTCTGTGAGTGACGTCAAACGTCAAATTAAGGACCGCCCACCCTGCGCAACATCCTATCTTTAGTTGGGTATATCGTGCCGAAGACAGTGTTGCCAGAATTACGGATTAATCCGAAGATTTACGGATTTTGCGTACATACGTTAATAATACGGATTTTCTATCATTAAACAATTTAATATAATATTATATGTATGATTAAACAAAGAACGGCGTCAGAGTTCGCTTGGAAATAAATATCGCTGTTATTTCATATGTAAAACATTATGGTAAATGTCAATAATCCTCATTTCCAAACCAACTAAACAACTTTTTTTTCGATCATAAGAAATATACAGTACCTATAAAATAATGTCAAGGTGTATGACATCTGTCGGAGAAGCGAGTAACTAAAACGTGTATTGCTAGTTGCCTACATTGTCAAGAAATCTGAAGACATTTTTTTGTTGAGGCACCATCTCTTAATCAAGTCGACAAGTAAGCGAATCAAGCAATAGAATTTACTGGTAGATGGCAGAAAGTTACCGATAATTTTAGAACGTGCCAGAAACAGTCACCAGAGCATATATAATGCGCGTAATCGGCAGTTCAGCAGTTTGAAGTTTGAAAATACCGCGTTTTAAATTGCGAATCGGACAATTTGGCGAAGGAATTTTATATATAGTTAGTTGTGTGTGTTAAATTAGTATAAATTGTGTGTAAATTGTTAGAAAAATAAATTCGTTAAGTATTTTATCGTGAGTTTAAATTAGTGATAGTGGACCCACGGAATCCGTAACAATAATTTTTATTATTGTTGTTTATTCTATGTTTAACACAAATAAATGTTTACATAAACGTGAATTTTTCATCCAAAGATATTTTTGTCAAATGTATTACAGATATTCCACATTATCATAGGGCAACAGTGTCGCTTTCAGTTCCACACCGTCTTCGATATTCTTTCGCTGGCCGAGTTAGAGAAAATCACTATACAGCATTTAAAACGTAAGTGGAAACCAAATCAACATTGTCACGAATTTGCCCATTAGGTTGCGTATCTTCCCAATTCTTTCAATCAACGGTTATACTTTTATATGTTATTTATTCCTCCTAGCTTCCTTATTATTTTAAATTAGTTTGCCCCAATATGTTATTCAGATTATTTAAACCTATTATGTTATTTATTAGGAGAGATGAACATAAAGATGACAAATTAGAAAGTTTAAGATTTGTTCCTATGGAGGCCTCAGATTCTATTAAAAATGATTTATATTCTGATGTATCTTCAATAAAGAAAAAGAAATCTAAGAAAAATAAAGGACTGAAGAATACAAATGAAAGACATAGTAAATCGTTGACATAGTAAGACTTGTTTATATTAATATACATTTCTTGATTGTTTTAGCCCTTGAACCAATGCAAGTTCCATCCAAAGGTACAATTTGTACTTTTGCTCATATTGTATCCCCATCAGAATTTTATTTACAAATTGTCAGTGAGACGAATTCCAAAAATTTGGATTTGTAAGTTTTAATTGTTTGTCTTAAGCTGTGTCTAAGCTAGGCGCTCCGCGCCGAACGGAACTCTGGCGAACTCTTCTTTTTGCTGTGAAATTTCTTTTTGCTCATGTATATTTCATCACAGACATAGACTTGGATACTAAAGTAGGTTTTAATATTCCATAGATGTATTAAATAGTTCTTATACTACTAAATTATAAATCGGATACTATTTAAAAAGGATAAGTTCTTTACAATATGGCAACACCGATTAGACGTGAGGTCGCCTATTCATTCATTTATTATCTTGTAGTACGCGTCGCACGTGTGCAGTAAAGCTTTGTTGCCGCTCTGTCCTCGGCTGTATTAACGCATTTTTTAACGCACTCGTTAGAACCTAAAACAACAACACAATAATAACAGGACATTGTCTGACCGCATTTTCCAGCTATTTATGAATGAGATGTTCAGTCTATATTTTATTTTAAGTCTATGGTTCATTCCCTTTGATGTACCGACACCCGTAGGGAAAGGAAAGCGTGCTCTAACTTGCACGCGTTGTTCCGCGCGCAACGGCTAGCTTGGACGTTGCTTTATATTCATGACCTTCGCAACTGAACCTTTTTTCAGAGTTACCTATAACCTTAATCAAACATTCAAACAAACTAACTCGAAATATAGGACCAAACGTGAAGCCTTTTTAGCACTTGGAAATTTTTGCTGTGGATACGTTATTGAAAAGAAAGATTGGTTTAGATTGTCAGTAATTAATTGGAAATTGGTATACATAATTTTAGCATTACTTATTTTAATAAACATTTCTTAAATTTATTTAGGAATATGAGTCAGATAATGTTGAAGTGCAAGCTGTTGATTACGGTTATGAACATACTATTTCTTATAAATATTTAAGGGAGTTAACTCAAGATCTTTCTCAAATCCCAATTTTAGCCATAAAATGTCATTTTCCCTTAGTAAGTATGGACAATGAGAAAAGGGATGATTTTAGCAGACGATATTCAAAAATTTATAGGAAATAAAAGTTACTTTTCATTTCAAATGAGACACAACTGCTGCTACTGTCATATATTCTCTCGTTGGGCAGACAACTTATAAGGGTACTCTCAAAGTTGAATTATTTATGTTAATACCTGGTAGAATTTTGTATGAACTCGATTTATCCAAAATCATTTAAAAAATATTCATTATAATATCGAAATAAATATTAGAAATCATATGTTTGGTGTTTTAAAAAAGTGGCTCACCTCTATAACTATTTTATTTTTTAGATAAAAAACGAGATTTAGTATGTTAGTATAAGACATAAATCAGGATTGACTGATGTTTTCAATTACATTCGGTCACTTCCTATCATACGAAATTACTACAACTTTTGATTTTTAAATGGTACTCAAATAGTATTGTAAAATGGTATTTTTTACTATATTTGATAGAAAATTATAGTCTAAATAAAATGACTGAAATGAATAAAATCACATGTCAACTTTTGACATTTTCTCTTTAAAACAATTGTTTTAAATTTCAGTCTAGAGTGTCACGACATTAAATGTAACGTCAACTTCACTCGACATACCAAGTATGTGGTACCAAATTATTTGTAAAAATGCTTTTTTTAAATATGCTAATGAGCCACCTGCGTTCCATTTGAAAAAATCAGTTATGATTAAAAATACGATTTATTTTAACAGGTCAGGATAAAACACGAAAAACATTACACGATCAAATCTATTTTTCCAAATCTCCTTGATTAAATATTAAAATACTTTTTTTAAATTGAAAATGTCAAAAGTTGACGTGTGATATGCTATTCTATTCAGAATGTCATTTTCTATCAAATAAAATAAAAAAATATTGGGCGCGTTCAGGGACGGTCAGCGGCTGAGTGGTTGAGTAAGCGATTTCCCTAAACGGTCTATTCTGGCGAACGGCAACAGTTAATCTATTTCCTTATCTGTGGTTAATTAATGTAAAATAACTTTAATTTTCTCAGTTTATTGTTTACTTTTTATGGTTTGTTGAATCGAATCCTTAAAAAATAGGAGATATTTGTTGTCAAAAAAGTTACAAAGCAGTAGGTTAATCTAAAACGTTCAAAAAAGTCGGTTGTAAATAGAGATCGAAGAAGTTAAAGAAAGAAAGAAAATTCAACTTAATTTCCATCTCAAGTCGAATTTTCTAAATACAATGAAATTAAAAAAATACTACTTTCTGAAAAAAATTGCGCCCAGTTGGCTTAGAAATGACGATCGATAATATTCCCTATATAAGTTTACTTATAAAATAACAGCAATCTTTACCTTCACATCACCCCTGACATCGTTTTTTTTTATTGTAGGGTATTTACACCTTCAGTAATTTTTTTTGTACCATACCATCGAAAAAAAATGCGTAAAAGGTGACTTGGTCGAACTGCCAGTTCCTGTTATTTTAAGTTGTGATTTGTGTTTAGGTGTATAGGTAAAATTATTTATAAATTGTTATTTTTTTAGAAATTTAATGTTTAACTAGTTCAATAAGCCTGGCGCATCCGCCACGACATCAGGAAAAAAAATACTTTTTATTTTTTTTTAATTAAAAATTTAATCTTTTAGTAAAAAAGCAATTTTCTAGAGCAAGTCGTTACTTCAGTAGAGACGACACAGATAAATATTAGCATTTTATATATGTACATACTGTATTGTCAAATAATATATTTTCAATTATTAAATAATCAGCCAGTAGTAATTTCTTTTTCAAAATAATTTTTATTCTAAAGACTAAAGATCGATTATAGACCGATTTAACGAAGATTTATTTATATTTCTCGCAAATTTTTATAGTGGACAGAGAACGCATGATACAGCTACTGTTTCTTGTTCTTTCTGCTGCTTTGTGCCGTTTAGGGAATATCGTAAGATGCTGGTCAGTGAAATTCTACGCTGTATGTCAGCGGCTGTTCCCTGAACGCGCCCATTGAGGGTACCGTTTAAAAATCAAAAATATGTAGTCATTTTCGGTGATATTGGAGCGGGAACTTTTGAACTATCATTATTTGTCAGAAATCGAAGTGTTGTAGTTAATCGTTCCTTTGCAGTAATAGCTTTTCTTCTAAGCATTTTCTAAGCATTATATTTAAAAAATTGTATTTTATTAAAAAATCTGTTCTATTTTTCTGACTTTCAAGGAGAATAACTAAAAGCGATTCATATTTCCACGTCGGTCTTTTTATCCTTCAGGATAGTGTTTCCAAACGGTGTATGTTTATCACCGTAATCCCGATATTAAATCGCGGGATCCTGAAAATCTTTAAAAATTTAAAAGCCCAATCTAAAATGTTTAGACTTTGTACACTTTAGTCTTTCTAAAATCATATTTAAACTAAATAGAACGTCACTATCTAAGTTATATTTCCGTGTTTTTTTTGCAACAAAAATTGCATTTTTTTACTTACTACTACTTCTTTGTTTACTACTACTTTGTTTTGTCTATTTTAATAAAACTTTTTTCTAATTTTTTTTATATATAATATGTAGCTACATTTTTATTAAATATTTCGTTAGATTAGTCAATTCCTGAAAATAATGAAAATCCCGGGATCCTGAAAATCTTTAGAAATGTAAAAGCAATCAATCTAAAATGTTTAGAGTTTTTACACTTTAGTCTTTCTAAAATTATATTTATACTAAACAGAACGTCACTATCTAAATTATATGTCCGTGTTTTTTTCGCTACAAAAGTTGTATTTTTTTACTTACCACTACTTTGTTTTGTCAATTTTAATAAAAAATCTTTTCCCATTTTCTTTTTTATATAATATGTAACTATATTTTTATTAAATATTTCGTTAGATTAGTCAATTCCGGGATCCCGGGATTATGTTCTTATCCCGGGATTTCAAAACGGGATTCCGATCCCGAGAATTGGAAACGCTATTTCTGGATAAGCCCTTTTTCAAAGGTTTATTTCCTTTTAAATAACTTACCTGTTCCTGCTTCTATTCAGGAGATCGGGGAAGTTAGCAACTCATTGAAAGCAGGAATTATAAAATACGATCCTGCTTGGACAATCGTGCTTTATCCTGCTTCAAATCCCAACCCAGCCACACCTACCAATTTTGAGCTATAGTTACTTTCATTTTGGTTGCTAACTTCCCAGTTGGCAACACAGGAGAAGCAGGATCGCCAAAACTGGTTCCTGCTTGCGCTGCTATACCCCTGTTGCATCCTGCTCTAAATTTCATCCCAGCAACACTTTTTGTTTGTAAGATTCAGCAAGTTTAAATCTGATTGGTGACGTCACACATAGCAACACAATAAAAGCAGGATGGCTGAAACATGTTCCTGCTTTGGCTGCTATAATCCTACCTTATCCTGCTTCAAACCCCCTTGTCGTTTTTAAAATAGAACGAATCGTTTCTTGGTAATCAGACGCACATTAAGGTTAAGAATGTTTATTTTTAGCAAAATAAAACACTAAATCACCACAATACACCAAAACACTTTTACTTTTACACTGGACGCGCGTTTCGCTAACCATGTTAGCAGCATCATAAGCAGATGATTATAAACTAAAGTACAATCTACAAGTTGAGCGTTTATATACTCGCTCATTTTTTTTTAACTTGATAAGTTTCAGTTTAGGCTGCTATTTTTTTGCTTTATGTATGTATGTTTTTCAAAAACGGCAAGAGTGGCTGGTGTATGGTTTGAAGCAGGATGAGGCAGGATTATAGCAGCCAAAGCAGGACCTTGTTTCAGCCATCAGCTTTTATTGTGTTGCTATGTGTGACGTCACCAATCAGACTTAAACTTGCTGTATCTTAAAAACAGTAAGTGTTGCTGGGATGAAATTTACAGCAGGATGCAACAGGGGTATAGCAGCACAAGCAGGAACCAGTTTTGGAGATCCTGCTTCTCATGTATTGCCAACTGGGAAGTTAGCAACCAAAATAAAAGTATAGTATAGCTCAAAATTGGTAGGTGTGGCTGTGTTGGGATTTGAAGCAGGATTGTAGCAGCCCAAGCAGGATCGTATTTTATAATTCCTGCTTTCAATGAGTTGCTAACTTCCCCGATCTCTATTCAGGGGTAACATCTACCATTTTCTTTTTCGAGCTGAATCCAGTAGCAAAAATACCGCTGCAACAATTACTGAAACGTTTTCATTTCCGACTTAATAGTAATTTACAAAAATATTTAAACAAGCATACAAATATTCGTGTATTTGTTGACTGTGTGGAGTCGCTTTTATGTGACAATTTATATTAATATAAGGATTTTTGGAATATGACACTTTATATGAGTTTTTACCAGCTGTTAAATTACACAACTTTAGGAATACCTATTAGAGTATAGAAGAAAACTACTAAAACGTTAATTTTTAGCTATATCCTCCAGGATCTACAGTTTCAAATAAAATTACAGAATGGCCTAGCGTAAGCATTGAAGGTCTAGATAATATTGCTAATTTACCTGTTGACAATACTAAATCAGAATACAATTTTTTCGAAATTATTTTTAGCATGCCACAGGGGTATATTATATTTTTAATTTGTTTTTGTATGTGATTGATTTTTTTTTTTCAGTGATTCTGTAGCAGTAGACTTAATACAGCATAACGGAGATGGCACGAGTTTAGGCGCATTGCTAGTTGAATTTGATTTAGGAGTAGAGATTGGAGATGAACCAAATCAGTGTATATCCTAAAACTTATATGATAATAAATAAGTGTATGAGTAAAAATCTATTTTAGATGTTGATGACATGAATTTGGATATGTTTTTAGCAGATACAGATAAAATGGAAACTGCTAATAATTTAAATGAGCTTGTATGGGGTTATGACCCAACCGACGAAGCTCGTATTTGTAAATTTTCTCGTCCAGATGGTACTTGTTTTAAAGGAGCAAATTGCAAGTTGGACCATGTTTTACTAAAAGGTGATTTTTTTCCTCTAAAATAATGAAGGTTTAAAACCTTGGGTTCAACTTGTTTGCTTGTGGCTTTTTTGTAGTATCCTAACAGTGTATCGAGTATAATCCACTTAGATGATGCAATATTAATTCATTTTAATTTCACGGCTATATATACAGGGTGGTCCGAACTGTATTCCGGAAACTTCAGCTGTATAATCTGCACATAAAAATAAGTAAAAAAGTTCGTATAAATGTATGTCCTAAAATACATTTATACGAACTTTTTTACTTATTTTTATATGCAGAGCGCATGAAACATCTACAGGGTGTAGAAGTTTCATTTTTATTTCTATTGTTTCCAAATAAGTTTTGAAGTAACGTCAATATTTGGATCAAAATTGGTGTCTGGGTATTTTTTAACATGAGAAATTTGATATTGACGTCAATATGACTTCTACTTCTAGAGGGCGCCACCTACATATTTTTTAACTGGTTTGAAGAGCAATAACTTTTCGTCCGTACCTGTATAAAACTACTAAGTAAAAATATACATTTATCTTTACTATACAGTACTTTGCCCTTTTTACGTAAAAAAGGTCTGTTGGTAAAAATCGCTACGAGTAATGGTTCTTGAGATATTTGAAATCGAATTTATCAATACCTGTCATCATTCACATAAATTAAACATGTTGACTAAATATTATAGTTATTAGACTGAAATCATAAATTTGAAATGTTTTTGTGCCAAAGGTTCAACAGAAACTGTTTTATCGTCATTTTTTGCAGACAAATTTGATTAATTAAAAAAATATAAAAATTTCTCAAATTTTTATTATTTCAGTCAAGTAATATGTAGTCAACGTGTTTATTTTTGGTCAATAATGACATGTATTGACTATTTCTATTTTAAATATCTTGAGAACGGTTGCTCGTAGTGATTTTTACCAAGAGAAGCTTTTTACGTAAAAAGTCATGGAAATGCAGTAGTTTTATACAGGTACGGACGAAAAGTTATTACTCTTCAAAACAGTTAAAACAGATGTAGGTGGCGCCTCCTACAAATGGGAGTCATATTGACATCAACATCAAATTTCTAATGTCAAAAAACTCCCAGACACCAATTTTTATGCAAATATTGACGTTACTTCAGAAATTATTTGGAAAAAATGGAAATAAAAATGAAATTTCCTCACCCCGTATCTCCGAAACTAAGCATTTTAGGACATACATTTATAGGAACTTGTTTACTTATTTTTATCTGCAGAATATGCTGCCAAAGTTTCCGGAATACTATTCGGACCACCCTGTACGTTAATCGGTTTAAAACGTTCTACGTCTTCCGATGCCATGCCTCCATGCCTGTCTGTCTCTCCATGCTCCGTCTCCGAGAGATCTTTCCTCCATAAACGTGTCAATCTCTTCCTGCCAATTTCTTTTTGGTCTACCCGGTTTTCTTCTCCCTGCAGGTTTCCACTTTATAATTTGCTTTGGGATTAGTATCCACACGGAGCGGACCGGCCGCGCGGATCATCGTGTGTATTTTTAAGGTCCGGCTGAGTACTTTTACCTGTGGACGGTCCGTTGGTTGAACAAGTACCATGAGTTTACAACATATATGAATTTTTTCTACATGGACGCGGATGATCCGTCGAAGCAAGGGCTTGACGGATGGCCATCGGACGAAATTATCCGGACGGATCATCCGCGCCCATGTGAAAATACTCATACAAATGATTCTTGGTGATTGAATCTCAATTCGATCGATCAAAAATCAATCAAAATTCACGATCGGGAAAAGATTTATCATCTTTAGGCAACCGGACTCTAACTCTTAATCCATAAGCGATCAAGACAAAGCTACTACAATGAATGTATTGAATTCTACAGTACCAAATAACAACGTTGATCCAGCCAGCATCAAAATCTTTCGTCTTGGAAAATTTGTGCAGAATAAATCACGCCCAATAAAGGTGATTTGTGGTTCTTCTCAAATTTCACATAAGGTTCTCCTGAATACTAAGATTCTAAGGAACAAACCAAATTTATCCAGCCTATCAATCAGCTCCGACAAGACACCCTAGCAGCTCCAAGAATATCGAGAGACAAAACAACGCCTCAATGAGAGATTAGCAGCCGGAGAAACCAACCTTAAAATTAAATATATCAATGGTAGTCCAAGAATCGTGTGTGGACGCGAATAATTTAAACTTCCAGGAGTCGCAAACAATCAGTCCAGCGTCCAGCTTAATCCGCGTAGAGACCGGAGGTCCAACACATTCCAAGGACAGATGTTTGGATGCGTTTGGACAGATGTTTGGATGCGTTGTAACCGGTGTGTACAGCAGCGGCGAACATGCTCCAGTGCATTCCAACGCTTTCCAAGGGCGTTGGCCAGGGTTCGGTGGCTTGTCGGTACATCAACGAGATGTTTGATTTGGTGTGGACGTGATTCTAGTGGTTGCCGGTAGACTACTGCGGTTTACTACTGCGTATCACATCTGTACAGGGTGGACCATTTTGGTTGTTAATATAGGGTATCTAGGAAACCGTGAGAAATATTCCAATTTATTAATGCAAGAACTTGACAATGTATTTACATGTCAAATTTTCGCTCTGCAAGTCCTAGCGTGCAAGAAAACTAGACCGTCGATCAACTTTACTTGCAAAGTAATTTTTCATGTACAATCAGTTGAGCAATTACTTGAAACACAGTTTACATTAAGCAAGTACTTGCAATCAAGTTCTTGTGCAAGCAAAACTTGCATCGTGTAAACGTAGCTTTACCTGCGACGATTAGATGGGGTAGCTATGCTAGATCTCGCCGTCTTGAAACATATTATGTAATTATTTGTTATTTTTCAATTGAATTAAATAAAGACATTTATTATAATTATTATTATTAAATACATGGTACTTGTTCAACCAACGGACGATCCTCTCCATGTAAAACGAGCTAACAGGGACGATCAGAGCGGACCATCTGAAACAGCACTAACAGTGTAGAATGTATGGATGGGATGTATTGTATGGTGGGTATCCTAAGAGTGTAGCGGGTATAGCATAGTTGGATAATGTAATATTACTCTTAGAGATGAGAAAAAAATGGCAAACAGCTGCGTTTTTTAAGACCGCAATCGCAACTTGCTAAAAAACGGGCAAACATTTCTTGGTCTAAAAATTTTTAGATTTTTACAATCTTATTCATATTTTCACTAATAATAGCTTATTTGTCAATATTTTTTTTAACATTTGTTCTTAGAGTCTCTTTAAGCAACTCAGAAAATTTCGAAAATTTGTTTTAATGCGTGAGTGGCCCTTTCCGCTTTTTAGGGGATTTCCCGAAAGTGTCGTAAACAAAAGAAAATTGCATAATTACGAATAGTCAAATTGGTTTCTTTTTACGAACAACTGTACGTAAAAAAGTGTCAGGATCATATTTTTAGCTAAATTCTTCCATTTGGCTATCATGAAAATCAACTACATGCCATATTTCGGCCAATATTGGCGAAAACCCCGTTCTTTGACCCTTTAGGGCCGTTTTTAATCGTTTTCTTGGGACTTTACGAAAAAAGTGTCAGAACCTTTTTTGTAGATAATAACCTAAGCTTTATTTGAAGAAAAATTTTCTAAATTGCATATTTTGGCAGATATTTGCGAAAAACTGATTTTTCGGCCATTTGGGGCCATTTTTTCGGTCAAAGCCGGCCGATCGGTTACATTTTTTTAGCTACTGAAGCTACTCCCTAAAAGGTCCATAATCCGCCTAAAAAGTCATGGTCGACGAATTAAGCCGAGGTTTGGGTCTCTTTTCGTGTCCTTATTTACTGGATTATTAAGGTTTGTCCAACGAGAAATGGGACGATTTCGACAGACAGTATTAAAACTTGATAGAAAAAAACTATATACAAAATAAAAATTATAGACTGTAACTATATGAATTGTATCGTTGCCGTTGGACAGACTATATTGAAATAATTCTTGTTGTTGTGCTTATTTGGATATATTATCTTTATTTCAGTAGTATACATGAAAGTTTTTAAAACCGGCAGCACTGTATGCTGCTTTTTATTTTGTCTCTCTGTCTATCAACCTATAATTTATATTTATCTCTGTCGCATGCATTAAAATACAAATCATGTAGATAAAGTCTCCAGGATGGTATAAATACTAGTGCCTCAGTAATATCATATTTTATGTTTTTCTTTTAAAGATGGATACACAACTGACAAAGTTGAAGTTTTTAACACAACCAAGAAAGAGATGGTTTTACCAAAAAAGGGAGAAATTCGACAAATATTAGTAACTGCCTTTGTCGATCCTTGTACCTACATTGTGCAGATTGTTAACGATCCGGTTAATGATGAAAGCAGTAAGTTCATATTTTTTATGTATTTTTTTTTGTTAAAATTAACAAATAAACATATTTCATGAATTTTTCAATAAAGCTTGAGGTTTAATACATTCTTAGTTATTCAAGGGCGAGTCCAGCTCTATGTCAGATGATGTCAGATTTTTCATGTTAATAATAGGCGAGAAATTGTGCGCGTTCAGGGAACATAGCCGCCAGGGCCGGGCGGCCGCACGGGGCGCCGGCTGTCGTGGCGCCCGTGCGAGGGGCGCCACGACAGCAACTAAATTATTTAAAAACTATAATCTAAACAAATAGTAACGAATAACCAGATCAATAATTAATCGCTACTATCAGTTTCCACATTAAATTAGCCATTACACACCGCTTAGGGAAGAATATGTGACAGTATAAACACTACTATATCCTTGACGTATCCTATTATAACTTACTGAAATTATGCTCAAAAAATCTTTAGCACGAAAGCTTTGGGATAGTTTTGATTTATTCTATTCTATATATTCCTTGGGTGCTCTATTCGAAACTGGGATTTGCGAATTAATTTTCGTGAAAGAATCTTAAACAAAATAAAATAAAAAAATATAAATCTGATTTGTCCGTGGTATTTTACTTATAACTCAAAAGCTAACAACTTTTTGTAAATATCCCTTCTATTCTAAAAAAACTGTTTTGAGTCAAGGGCCAGCAAAATTGACAGTTTTGGACTGACCGCTCAAAATCGCACTTTTTCTACTGCACTACTATCTACACCCTTTATTTGTTATTATTGGCTGATATGCACTAAAATTAAATAAGGCAAATATTCATTCGCAAGAAGCTGAAGAGCATCCCGATATCCTTATTATAAAAAAAGCTTATTAGTTTGCCTCATCAATTAAATTAATTTATTAATAGTAGTGGGAAAGATATCAATCACAAATGGTGGTTTTGATTGTTCCGGGTTTAATATGTAGTAATACACGGAAAATGGTAGCAAAATCGTAGAATTTTCTCGTTAGAGGAATCACACAAAGAAAAATTTCACACAAACGATTGTGACAAAGAAAGGAAAATTTTCTTAAACTCGTATAGAAAAATAATGCAACTGCTTGCAACTAAATAAATACTAATGTTTTCAAAGATCACATATACCAGAACGAGATTGCCGAAGTGGGAATTCTATTTCTTATATAGCTCTATAAGATTAGCGGCTCTCAAAAGTGGCTCACCGCTATAACTCATTTATTTTTTCAGATGAAAAAACGAGATTCGGTATGTTAGTATACGACGTAAATTAGAATTAATTGACATATTCACTTGTTTTGGTCATTTCCTGTTTCGCCGGAAATTACTACAACTTTTGATTTTTATATGAGATATGATTAAAAATACGATTCGAGCATCTTTTAACCTGCTAGGACAAGACACAAAAAACATTAGACGATTAAGTCTATTTTTCCAAGGCTCCTAGTTTAAATTAATAACTTAGTGCTTAGTGTTTTTAACACAGCCATGGCACTCTAGATTGTAATTTTAAATACGATTTTTTAAGCGAAAATGTCAAAAGTTGACATATGATATGCCATTCTACTCAGAATGTTATTTTCTATTGAATAAAGTAGAAATATACCGAGGGGGTGGATTTAAAAATCAAACGTTTTAGTCATTTCTGGCGAAACAGGGAGTGACCAAAAACAATTGAATACGTCAATCAAGGCTAATTTATGTCATAAACTAACATACCAAATATCGTTTTTTTTTCATCTGAAAAAATAAATGAGTTATAGAGGTGAGCCACTTTTGAGACGCACCCGGTGTAGAAAAAACAACTGCAGACTGAGATTGACCGAAGAGAAGAATTTTGTAAGTATCTTTAAGTGAAAATTTATTGTTAACCGGCCCTAACAGCCGCTGACCGACCGCACAGAATTTTGCTCAGCGGCTGACCATTGTTGTGTGTAAAAATAGACCGTTTAGGGAAGTCGCTTAATCAGCCACTCAAATATTTATTACCAAAAGTTAGTTAATAAATAAAATAACAGGCCCTCGCGGCCGCAGTGGAGGGTCCCACGGGACCCACTCTTAGTGAATACGAATACGAAATAGTTAATAAATATATGGCAGCCTATATAGCCGCAGATCGATCACAACCTGAACGCGCTCATTGCTAAATTAACACTAATTGTAATGTATTGACAGCCTTGTCAAATCCTCATAATGAAAAAGCGCGACAGTTTTGCCAAACATTTTATAATAATGTGCGCGTTCAGGAACTGTCAGCGGCTAAGTGGCTGAGTAAGCGACTTCCCTAATATAAACAGTCTATTTTTACACACAAAATCGGCCAGCCGCCGGCGCCGCTAAGCGGGATTCTCAGTGGTCAGTCAGCCATGTTCCCCGAACGCGCACGATAATAACTTTCTGTTGTTATAAACAGGTTAATAACGGTTATAAATCCAAATAACAAACTACTTTTATTAAATAAACATTCAAAGGAAAATAATGTTTGTGAAATTAACAACGAAATTAACATAAAAAAATAATTGATTTCGATGTTATGTTATTTTCAATGTTTTTTTGTTCATATTTGTTCCTGAGTTCCTGTTGGGGTAGTTGTTTTTAACTTTTTTATGAAAATGATAAATTGTAAATTTCTTTCGTTCTTGTCTTTTGGGCTACATAACGGAGTCGGGGATTCACTTGAAAGCCAATAGACTGATAACGCACGCGTAACAACACATAATCAAAACCGGTTCTGAAAAACTAACATTTTATTTACTAGGGGTATTGAACATTGCTTTTTATTCTGCTGCTGGGCTGCCTCCTATCGGTTTAAAAAGGTTAAAAATTTAGCATAAAAATATACAAAAATCTGACTTAAGCCTTTCAAAGAATTCAAAGAATCTGGTATAATTAAATTAGAATAGAATATATTTTTTGTTTTAACTGGAAAGAACTGTCAATAAAAATATGTTTTTAATGATATTTTAGTTGGTGCAAAAGTGGATAAGGAATTATCAAATTTAATAGATTTTATGAACAAACCAAGAACCATATCAAATTATGACGGTTTTAAATTATACCCATCCTTAGGAGAATTAGTAGTGGTGTATTCTAAATCATTGGATTTGTGGGTAAGAGCAAGGGTGTTGGACTTTGAGGACTTTAGAGATTCTATAAAGGTCAGTAATTTTGTACAATTTGGTGCCTCTTCTTCGTAAACTTTAAGAATAAAAGTTTTAAAATTATAGTCTACGATACGTCTGCAGGGTTATCACACTCATCACGTATTTAATCAATATTTAATTTTTACATATATTTATGGCTGGGGGAATACAATTTTAACAGGGTGCCAAACAAAAAGTTGCCGCCAATATGTTTAATTAAAATAATATTAATTGACTCTGTAGACATTAGGTTCATAATGTACCGGGTGTCCCACTAAGAATAGCTCTCGGCTGTATCTTGGAAAGTATTAGCCGTAGGGCTTACGGAAAAAAATATTTATAGCTAAAGGGGCTATGAGAAATTGCTGGAAATTATTTTCAAGTTTGTAAAACGGCCGCTAGGTGGCGCAACTGCTATAGAAAATGGATTTTTTACAGAATTTTACCTAGATAATGGGTACTATAAATAATAGCTTCATAATCTTCAGTAAATTTTGGATTTTTTTTGTTAGAACCATTTTCCCCTATCTGCTAAAATAAAGTGGTGGGGGAAGGTTAGATCCATCTTTATTTAAATGTTAATAACTCCGGACTGGATGATCAGAATCCAACAAACGAGGGCTCGTTTAAAAGGGCGTTTCTTACTCTATATTATACCATAAAAATAATAATAATAAGGTTTTGAACGTAGACGCTAGGGGGCGCTTTCTTAAATTTAACGAACATAGCGCGCATTCAAAAAAATTAAATACAATAGTATGTGTTATTTTAGCTGATAGTAAAAAGTAGTAAAAGCTTAAAAAGTTAGCAAAAATCGCATCTTGATATCTTCTTTCAAACCGAAGATATTAGCAAAATTATAATCAATACCAAAAAATAAGCCCTTAATTACCTTATTTTTACAATACAATATCAGTAACCCTCTTGATTAGGCCCATTCTAACAAAAAAATAAGATAGAAACAGTTAGTTTATTTTAAAATCGACGAAATACCAGAATACCATAATACCAGATGTACTAATATCTAATAATTAAGAAATTAATAATAGTGCACAACAAACGATGATGAACGATGTAGGCTTTGGAAAAAAGTTGCTTTTGACGTAATAGTATAAACGTCAAATTGTTATTAGATCAACATTTTGATAGTCTTAGCAGCGTTTTTTTTATCTTTTAAATGCTTTTTCAAAATGCTTTATTATTTGAAGTAGTTGAAGTTGTTGGCATTTTGAAAAAGCAACCAAAATATAAAAAACGCTGCTAAGACTATCAAAATGTTGATCTAATAAGAATTTGACGTTTATACTATTACGTCAAAAGCAACTTTTTTCCAAAGCCTACCATGCCTTCATCGGTTTTCGCTGACTTCTTAAGCTTTTAATACTCTTTACTATCAGCTAAAATTACATATACTATTGCATTTATTTTTTTTTTGAAAAAACGGGCAATGTTTGTTAAATTATAAGACAACGCCCCCTAACGTCTACGTTCAAAAGCTTATTATTATTGTTTATATGGTACAATATAGAGTAAGAAACGCTCTTTTAAACGAGCCCTCGCTTGTTGGATTCCGATCATCCAGTCCAGAGTTATTAATATTCGAATAAAAACAGATCTAACCTTCCCCCACCACTTTATTTTGGTAGATAGGGGAAAATGGTTCTAATAAAAAAGATCCAAAATTTACTGAAGATTATGAAGCTATTATTTATAGTACCCATTATCTAGGCAAAATTCTGTAAAAAATCTATTTTCTTATTTTCTATAGCAGTTGCGCCACCTAGCGGCCGTTTTACAAACTTGAAAATAATTTCCAGCAATTTCCCATAGCCTCTTTAGTTTTAAATATTTTTTTCCGCAGCCGCTACGGCTAATACTTTCCGAGATACAGCCGAGAGCTATTCTTAGTGGGACACCCTGTCATTTGATCATTTATAAATATTTCAAGTTACAGCTATTTTTGTTCTGTGCATGATGTTATAAGGTTGCTAATGAAAAAGTTGCCGCAAATAGGGGATATGGGTCGCCACGGTTCTAACAGTAGTAGGAACGATTTTAAAGGGGGTTACAGCAATACTACGTCGGACATCTAGCTTCTATAATAAAAATCTTAAGGAATTTTGTGTAAGGGCCAACCCAAAGTATATGTCAGGATGTATTTCAGAAAAATATTTTAACTTCTACAGGCTTAAAAAGTGTGACTGGATCGGGATGATTTTTTTAAATGAAACACCCTGTATATTATTGCATCTATGGCTTTCATAATTTTTCTGATCACTTTACATAATCCTAAGATATTAATAAATAGGTTTTGATAGTTTCATAAAATATTAATAAATAAATAAAAAAAATGTGTTTTCGGCCTTTTTTAATATACATACATATACAGGGTGGCGCCTCTCATACGCCGCGGAGGCTCCAAGGAGAACGACAGTTTGTATTGAAATAAAATTTTGTGAGCATATTATGTAGGTTAATTCAAAGCACTTTTTACAAATATAGAGAGTTCTACAGGGTGTCCCCAAAGAAAGTTACATATCAAAGTTGTGTTTTTTGTAATGGATCACCCTATATTTTAATTGCTTTTCGGATCCTGGGAAAAGAAATAAAGGTGAGTTTTATAAATATATGTCGTTATTAGTCGCCATTGGTTTCGGCCTTATCAGTCTCCGTCACGCAGATCCCTTGAGCTCATCGCCTCCTTGACACCCTCCATCCAATTTGTCCTTGGTCTTCCCCGTTTCCTTCTCTTTCGTGGAAGCCAGTTTAGTACCTTCTGAGGCAGCCACGTGTTGTCCATCCTTCTCACATGTTCATACCACTTCAGTTGGGCGCTCTATTTCCTCCACTATAGTTTTCTGTCTATTTTATTATTTCGCCTTTTTTAATAAAAATATTAAAAATACAATAAATGTTCAAACTCTCTACTAAATATTTACTATAGTTGGTCTGTACTTACTTTGCTATAAATATCGTAATCTTAAACCATACAGTGCGTTCAAAATTTTATGCCCAACTTTCTAAAATATAAAATAATTTTGATTTTTTTTAAATGTAACACACTGTATACTATTTCTTTGTTAGATGGAAAATTAAAACATCTAAAACAACTCTTTCAACGGTAAAATACCAGACTGATATACAAGGATACAGATTTTGAAATACTTCGAATAGGTACAAAAAAAAATCATTTTTTAATTTCATCTAAAAAAGGAATAATAATATTATATAGGGTGTTTCCTTTTTGAATGTATGGCATAGAATTTGAACACCCTGTATGGTTTAAGATTAGGATATTTTTAGCAAAGTACCGACCAACTATAGTAAATACTTAGTATAGTTTTGATTTCAGAACATTTCTTGCATTTTTAATATTTATTAAAAAAAAATATTTATTTATTAATATTTTTGGAATTATCAAAACATATTTAATAATATCTTAGGATTATGTAAAGTGATCGGAAAGGAAGCCAAAAATGCAATAATATAATGATATATAGAAATAGGGTGTTCCATTTAAAAAAACTCATCCCGATCCACTCACACTTTTTTGAACCACCGTTTAGAAGTTAAAATATTTTCCTCAAATTATAGGAGCTAGAGATGCCCGAGATAGTTTTGCCGGACACATATAAAGACGTTCTTACCAAAATAAAAAACTAGAAAGAAGTGTGTCAACTCTGTACTAAATCGTGGAAACGCGAAACGCCACCATATGGTCGCCTGGAGAACTAATTTTCCAATTGTTTCCATGTTCAAAAAAATCGCCGATCATAGAGATATGACAAAATTTTCTTGTATTTAAAAAATGTAGAAATAGTGTTTATTTACCACCTATTTTTCATATACATTGGATTTACCTACTACTCGTCGTTTTCTCCAAGATTTTTCATGTACGTAATATATATTTTATATATTTTACTAGCGTGTACCCATGACTTCGTTCGCGTCGAATTAATCATTTGTAATGGTGATGATAAAGCAAAGCAAGAATTTCCATTAACATACAAACTGGATAAAATTTTCTCAACAACATTTATGTCAGCATGAGAAAAAATAATAGGGCGATATTATTATATTTTGGCAGTTAATCAATTACCCAACTTTATGGAACATCCTGTATGATTTATTAAAAAAAATCAAAATATGTAAAAAACAAAATAAATTATGCGTGTCCAAGTGTTTTCCCGAAAGACTAACCGTTTTTTAATAACAAATATGGTAATATTTGAGGGGCGTTTTCACCCTCTTGGAATTTGAGATTCGAGAAATCCCTCCTTATCGAACCCCTACACCCCACAGTGAATCCGTTTGCCAAAAATCAGCTTTAAACGTCAAGCAGTTTCAGCAGAATATATTTTATAAACACCCTGTATAAATTTTAAAAAATCTTAAAATATGTAAAACAACAAAATAAAATATACGTGTTTAAGAGTTTTTCCGAAAAACTCACCGGTTTTTAAATAAAAAATATTTTAATATTTGAGGGGTGGTTTCACCTCCTTAGAATTCGAGTTTCGAAAAATCCCTTCTTATCGAACCTCTACACCCTAGAGTCAATCCGTTTTCCAAAAATCAGCTTTTTACGTCAAGCGTTTTAAGCAGGATCGTGATTAATCAATGACCAGATTTTTCGAAACACCCTGTATACATTTTAAAAAAATCCTAAAATATGTAAAAAAACTAAATAAAATATACCTGTTTAAGCGTTTTTTCGGAAACTTGACCGTTTTTTCAATAAAAAATATTGTAATATTTGAGGGGTGGTTTCACCCAAGGATACTATAGAGATAAGGATAGTTTGATTCCTATCTTCCTGCACTGTCAGTTTTTTTACGTCATCTACTGACCGAGTTGAAGTTGGCGCTAAAGATTGTAGACAGTGACAGTTATTTTTGCATTTGACGGACGAGCGCACAGTGCGTTGGAAGATGAATTTAGCGGGACAAAAGCGTTTGGTTAGAAATAAGCCAAAAAATGTGTACTGATAAGAATAAATAGTAGACATTCCAATTGATACAAAAATGCATGAATATTCTTTGTATTTCGATACATTTTTATCAACCAAATTTGGTCGTTTTCTGCTCAGCAAGGCAGAGATCATACGAAAACAAAATATTTACAAGTGCTTATACATTTTATTAGAAAGCCAAATTATGTTGAAGATTGCCAAAGGTATGTACTCTTCTACTGTACGTATATTATTTGTTAAAATCCTTCGTGCCCTTGTTCTGCAGATATCAAACTTTCACTTTTTTTTCAATTTTAATTTTAATTTTAATTATTTTAATTTTATATTTTCAATTATTGAATGATGTAGATCTTTTGAGTTACTTTACTAGTTACCAACACAGGTAGTCACAGTCACAGGGAGTTCAAGCTTAACAGGTGAATGCCCAAAAAGATTCATTTCAATCTGATAGTATAGAAACAAAACAACTCCATCAAAAGGCGCTGAGTTTAAAAAATTGTCTTAGATACTTACTATACACTGCTGGCAAAGGAATATTAGCAATAGGAGGTTTTCAATGCGATCAAAAAAGATGGTAAGGCTGCAAAATACACTGCAGTGCAACAGAGACGGATAAAGTGTCTTTTCCCTACCATTGTATAGGGGAAGTGATCATAGAAGTGATACGACGATAGAGCCCCTGCGAGAGGGGGCGCCGGGCGGGTCTTTAAGACGCTTGTGTGGGGGCTACCGCCTACTAATAGAACAGAATCGAAAAAATAGAAACAGGACGGACAGTGTTGCCATTCAATTAAATCGAAATTATGTTGGCTTGTCAAAATCCTAAATCTTCTAATCCCATTATCTTGCCTACTTAATGAAATATTAAATAAAGTACGAAACAATTTTAAGAATGTTTTCTCTAGGCACATAACTTCTTTCTAAAACGAAAAGTAACATGCAAAACTTTGAAATCATTTCTAAAATAGCAAGTGCAATTCTATGAAATGGCAATACTGTACGATCTTCCTAGCAGTCGCCCCGACACAGTCGGTCGGCGGCGGCGCTTGACAAAGCCGCGGCTGTGACAAAGGAATTAGGCCGAAAAAAACTTTATAAGGAGTAGCCGAACAGGGTTGCCGGGTTGGTTAGATTATAATTCCATACGAGAACAAAATTCTCGGTAGATCTTCAACAAAAATTAAAAGTACAGAAACGAAATAAAATATAATATTTAAGTCCAAAATTAGCATTCCTATGTGTCGTAATAATAGATCACTCAAATAAAATACAAATATAATAAATATAACAAGAATTAGAAATAGCTAGGTATATTATTTGATATTAAAAAAAATATTGAATTAAATAATATTAATATATTAATAAAAACATATAAAACTATAACAAGTAGGGATAGCAGTCACAAATTAGTGTAGCAGTCACTTTTTACCTTTGTACAAATTTTGATCAGTGATATCTAAAATTAATTTCATTTCAATGGGAAAGCTGTAGCAACTCTCAACTCTTTTTTCATATTAATATATTTTTTTACGGAAAATCACTAAAATATTTGTCCGAATTTAGGTTGTTTCTTAACTTAAATTTTGTTTTTTGTTTACATTTTTGGGGAAAATATGGGTTCAACTTTTAGTAGATGAATGAAATAAAATCTTTTCAAAAGATATCAACTTCTTCGGGCATGTCGCCAATACCGCGCCTAATAAGGAGTAATAAGGATTTTAGGAATATCTCTGTAACTCTGCAACTAGACAGAACGATGACCTGTATGTGTGTTATTACTAAATAAAATTTAATGAAACAATAATAAAGTCAGATTATACAGATTCCAACGCGGCAGTCGCTTAATTTTTAGTCAAATAAGTCAGCTTTTTAAAAGTGCTTCTATTGTAAAAACTAAAGACGCAGTTGAATATATCGTTGGATTTTTCTTTAAATCGGTAGATCGGTAGCTTCTTTAATCGGTAGATCGTAACCTGGCAACTCTGTGATGAACTGACGGGAGTCGGAATAGCGAGGTGCGGAGGCGCGGGAAGGGAAATAAAATAATGGCGATAAATAAAGGGCAGGGAGATGGGTATCATGAGTGGATGGGAGGTGGCGGAATTTCCAAAATTTGTTATCTTATTGGAGTTTGTCTAAGTAGACAGTCGTAGTGGAAGTGGAAACGGGGAAGTTGTTGTCCATCTCTGTTTAAGCATAGACTTTTTATAGGCGTTTCATTCCAATGCAGGTAATTCCTATGCCTAGAGATCCATTGCCGGGCCTGTATATGAATTTACAATTACCGAGTGTTAAAATTAAAATTAAAATATCTATCTTATTTATTATTTTCAAAATAAAATATATTTTTTTAAAATAGACTATAGAGGGTGTCACAAGATTACAAATTAATTAAAAAAAAACTGCAAAAGAGTTTTTTGATATCATAATTTTACTATAAACAATCGTAAAAGTTAACTTTTATCCAGCCTCATCGTACTGCGCATGAGCAAATATATATTTCTTATTTTATTTTATTTGACTGTATGAACGCACACAAATAAGAATTCCTTATTTCTTATTTTATTTTATTCTTATTTTATTTTATTTGGCTGTATGAACCCACCTTAAGCGCTCATAATGCTCAAAATATGTCTTCGGTCGTTCCCACATGACGATCGCGGACGTTGTGGTCGCGGCGAAAACGTCACTAATGACGTCATTATTTTCGCTCACGCCGAGCTCAACGACCCATCTGAATATTAGGATCGAAGTGGACGTTGAGGAATTTTGGCGCAATTTTTAACACTTAGACAAAAGACTAAAGATAAAATTTTTCATAGATTCTCATAGCCAATAATACGTGGCCTAAGTTTTCGTTTTTTACGATCGCGATTTTGTAAAATTGCATTCCACTATTCGTCTGAACTAGACACATTCCGATTTCCGATGCACCAAATTTTCAACTGTCGCCAAAGACATATTTTATAGACAGATTTTTTGAATTCTCTTCTGTGATTTTGACAATTATTTACTATTTACAAGCTATTTACATACATTGACAGTACTTAGTGGAACGTACTCAATGAATATCGATTCGGAAATGCACTGTCGGACTGTCGGCAGTTTTTATGCCTTCATCTATGAGTGGTAGCATTCCTATGACGTAGTAGATCACGTTTCCGATAATGGCGGATCGAGTTACGAGACAACCTTATCTTTTAATAACCTTGGTCCGTGTCTAGGCGGCCATACTTCGTCGTCAGTAGATGACAGGAATGACAATTTCCAATTTTACTATTTCACTGTTACCCCCCTTGCTAGGTTTTTACTACTGTTTGAACCGTGGCAACCCCTAATAGCGGCAACTTTTTCATGCACAGAATAAAAATAGCTTTAATTTGATATATACGTAATGTCGTCTCCAAAATCAATTAATTTAATTATCAATTAATATTATTTTAATTAAACATATTGGAGGCAAATTTTTGATTGGTACCCTGTTAAAATTGTATTGCCCCAGTTACAAATATATGAAAAAATTAGATTTTGTGTGATGAGATGATGATGATGATGATGTGATGAGATATGATGATGATGTGATGAGATAATCCTGCAGCCAAATCCTGTACTATTTTCAGAAATATTTATTTTAGTAATATTTTTCTAGATATACACACTGGATTTTGGAGAATACTTCAGTGTACAACTGAAAGATTTAAGAATGATGAAAGAAGAGTTTGTTACTCTTCCTTTTCAGGTTTTTTAGAAGTAACATTTTATGCATTTTTAAAATTAACTATATCTTTAAATTTTAGGCTGTCAAAGTTCATTTGTGTGCTTATAAACCTAAAGAGTCCTGTAATAAGAATTTAGTACAAACATTTTTTGATAACCATATTATTTATAAAAACTTTTTAGCCTATTTCCAGTAAGCAACTACTTAATTTAATTTTTCTATATTATGACATTTTTTCTTTTAGATCTAATGTGGACCCGCTTAAAGTAAAAATTACTACCTATAAAGGACAAGATATTGGAATAACTTTATTAAAAAAGGATTTTGTAGATAAGTCAATTATAGATTTAAGTAATTTTGATACAGGAAATAAAATATTAGATTTGGAATAAATTTTATAATGTATAATAATGATATTTCATTCTTCTAATTACATAGACGTTTCACTTGGTAATGAATCTATTCCTCCGAGAAACTTTCTTCACATGAAACAAAAACATTTTTTTTTAAATAAAAGCTACCGTTTCGTTACCTATGAAAAAGGTTAAAGAAGAATCATATAAAAAAACTTTGGATGAAAGGTGGAACGCGATGGGAGATTAATATGGCTGACTTAAATTCTGGTTTAACAGTGCCTTTGTAATTTTATTTAAAACGTGTAAAAATATAATGTAGAATAGACGGTAAAGGCACGGCTATCATATAAAACAACCGGCAGGCCCGCCGCAGGCGCATGCCTATTGGAACGGCAGAACAAAGTAATGCCAGAGTAAAGTAAACCGACGAGTAGCGACAGTCCGGTTTTCAATTTCGTAACAGCGATCAAAATACGCCGTAGGTGTATTTTGATTGCGTTTTGGTTAGTCTCTGGTGTAAGTTTTTTTTGTTCATAGATTGCACCCAAAATTCCCGATCAATTGTAGAACTGTTAAGGCGCGTACACATCTGGCGAACGCATGTGGCCGAAGCCATTCGACCGAATTCATTCGATGTTTTCGGCGTTCGATGGAAAATTTGCTCTGCCGTCCACATTACGGTGAATAAAACCGGTAAGTGGTAAATATGGCGTCCCGGGCGTCCGATGAGGAAATAATTATTGCAAGTGCATTGTATATTATTATTAGTGAGGCGGATTAAGGCGGATATTAAATCGCGACGACGCCGTTCGACACTTGAAGCGCTGAAAGCGTACACACTAAACACAGCCAAACGAATTCGTTCTTCAATTTTCTTTTGATGTACCACCCAGTGAGCGAACTCTCGCGAATGCAAACACATGCGTTCGCTGCCGTTTGTTGGGCCGTACACATTTACCGAAGGCGTTTGGTCGAATGGCTTCGGCCACATGCGTTCGCCAGATGTGTACGCGGCTTTATATATTATTATCATTTGTACGTTTTTGAAAGTTAAGTTAAATTATGCTACTATTACTTGAGAACTTAATACTCTCGAAACTTACAAGTTTATAATAATAGACAATAAAGTGATTTAAATTTGGCGGGAACTGTGGGATGGAGAGTTGCACCACGTTGCACGGTAAGGGCTTTGGTAAGGGTAGACCAGAGATATAGGGTTAGACGCAAGTCGATAGCACGGCATATAAATCACACGGCAGGCCAACTCGCTTTGGCGGGAACATAGCGGGAACGCTACGCGCATACCCTTGCGCACGCCGCCATTATGGGTGCCAGCGACAGAAATTAATCAGTGTCGTAGTCAGTCGTAGTCGAAGTCCGAAATTCTTTTAGTTTTAATACTCAGTCTGACTCAGTCATTGTCTACGGCCACGGCATTCAAAGTAATTTTTATTATTAGGTATCCTGCAAAATGACAAACAAGATTAATTTCTAAATTACTGTTTTTCTGATTATCCGCATCTATTTTTAATTTTTATGGATAGCTCATGACAATTCAGAGAGAAAAGAAAAGAGGTCTCGTTTTTTTTTATAAGGTCTGCCGTTTTTAATAAGATGTTTGCCAGATCATTTTGGCAATTTTCAGTACCCGTATGTAATATTCGGACACAAAGTTTTTAAATGTTCTTCTAAACTGGATGAATTTATCCTGGATGGGAATAATGACAGGTTTACAAGATATTGGAATTAGAAGAATTACAAGATAAAGTTGTACCAGATTTTTATGAGTGCAACTGTACACTCAAATCGCTTGTCGCTAAGCTTTTATATAATATAAAATTGTGTAATGACATAATAAAAGTTTTAAAGAAAAAGCTTATTTTTTCTTTTTAATGTATTTAAATAGAAACTTGTTTTCAAATTTCTTTTGACGGCTTGGCTTTTAAAAATATAGCCAAACATTTATATTTAAATTCATCAGTTACTTTTCTTCCTTTAGCTGATTTGTTAATTTGTGCAATTTGAATATTAACAAAATTTGCTATGTCTATTGATGGACATAATTTGTACGTAGCCTCTTTAGATTGTTCAATAGATAATTTATTGGGTATCTCTTTAATTCTTGTTTGTAACTCCTGGACTCCTGGCATGTTTTTTAATTTTAATTGTCTATTCTCTAAAGTTAAATGTTTAATTGATTTTTTCATTTTTACTTTTTGAGGAGTATGCGCGGTTAACGATTCATTTGTTTAGATAAAAGTATTGTGTAAAAAAAATTCAGTTTCAGTCAATTACAGTATTTTTTTAATACGACCCTGTCTAGCAAAAGTTTATTTTCTGGGAAATTTTTTGGTACGTTTTAATCCGGCCCTGACTCGGCACCCATAATGGTGTTTTCAAGGTCAAATTTTATAGAAATTTTAAACAATGGGATCTGGGCAGAGTTAGCCTGCCGTGTGATTTATATACCGTGTTATTAGGATGCCCATAGGTAGTTATTTAAGAAAAAGAATTGAGTTTAAGTGTATGGCACTGAGAAACCAGCATAACTTAAAAAGTAAAAAATAAATTTAAGAAAAAAACCTTTTTAAAAACAAGCTTTTATTTAAATACATTAAAAAGAAAAAATAAACTTTTTCTTTAAAACTTTTATTATGTCATTACACAATTTTATATTATATAAAAGCTTACCGACAAGCGATTTGAGCGTACAGTTGCACTCATAAAAATCTGGTACAACTTTATCTTGTAATTCTTCTAATTCCAATATCTTGTAAACCTGTCATTATTCCCATCCAGGATAAATTCATCCAGTTTAGAAGAACATTTAAAAACTTTGTGTCCGAATATTACATACGGGTACTGAAAATTGCCAAAATGATCTGGCAAACATCTTATTAAAAACGGCAGACCTTATAAAAAAAAACGAGACCTCTTTTCTTTTCTCTCTGAATTGTCATGAGCTATCCATAAAAATTAAAAATAGATGCGGATAATCAGAAAAACAGTAATTTAGAAATTAATCTTGTTTGTCATTTTGCAGGATACCTAATAATAAAAATTACTTTGAATGCCGTAGACAATGACTGAGTATTAAAACTAAAAGAATTTCAGACTTCCATTGTACTACTAAACTACAAAAACCAAATATATCACACAATAAACAAAAATAAAAAAAAACAAAATATATCACTCAAGAAAAGAATAAAATAAATTAAGCCGCACGCTACTGACTCAAAGCTGCCGTAACTGTACGTTGTCGATGACAAAGACTACGACTGACTACGACACTGGTTAATTTGTGTCGCTGGCACCCATAATGGCGGCGTGCGCAAGGGTATGCGCGTAGCGTTTCCGCCAAAGCAAGTTGGCCTGCCGTGTGATTTATATGCCGTGCTAATAATATGTGTATCGATTTTCATAAAAAAGGAGAACTTAAAAAACGACAGCTGTCAAATTTGACAGTTCAAATGTGAGACAAATAAAATGAAAACCGACTATGGGGTAGGGAGCATCCAATATATCGATTTTTATCAAAATCGGACAACTTTGAAATTTTTTTGACAGCTGTCAAATTTGACAGCTCAATTTTTTTTCTTTCCTTTTAACCCATGGCCATCCTATATATAGATTTTTATCAAAATCGGACAACATTGAAATTTTTTTGACAGCTGTTAAATTTGACAGCTCAATTTTTTTTTCTTTCATTTTAGCCCATGGCCATCCTATATATCGATTTTTATCAAAATCGGACAACTTTGAAATTTTTTTGACAGCTGTCAAATTTGACGGCTCAATTTTTTTTTTGACGGCTTGGCTTTTAAAAATATAGCCAAACATTTATATTTAAATTCATCAGTTACTTTTCTTCCTTTAGCTGATTTGTTAATTTGTGCAATTTGAATATTAACAAAATTTGCTATGTCCATTGATGGACATAATTTGTACGTAGCCTCTTTAGATTGTTCAATACATAATTTATTGGGTATTTCTTTAATTCTTGTTTGTAACTCTTACTCCTGGCATGTTTTTTAATTTTAATTGTCTATTCTCTAAAGTTAAATGTTTAATTGATTTTTTCATTTTTACTTTTTGAGGAGTATGCGCGGTTAACGATTCAAAAGATAAAAGTATTGTGTAAATAAAATTCAGTTTCAGTCATTTACAGTATTTTTTTAATACGACCCTGTCTAGCAATAGTTTATTTTCTGGGAAATTTTTTGATGCGTTTTAATCCGGCACCCATAATGGTGTTTTCAAGGTCAAATTTTATAGAAATTTAAAACAATGGGATCTGGGCAGAGTTAGCCTGCCGTGTGATTTATATGCCGTGTCGATAGTGTAATATATTTATACCTATATCAACCCTATTGTGAATTACCATTAATTGCCATTATCTTATATTATATCTCTGATATTATCTCTATTATTTATCTTCCTTTGCCAACATTTTCTTCACCTCAACAGTCGGGGGAAAAACAATTTCGAATTTCATTGGCATGGCTACCCAGTTACACGAATATTTTGGGCAATGATAAAGCTGATCAATTATCAAATATTGGAAAGACAAATGGTCGAGATGCTGAGATTAAGTGAGTATAATTACTTATATAAATGTTCAGCCTAGAGAAACATTTATCGGCATGTTTATACTAATTTTTAATAACTATTTTTTTTTGAAAAAAAAACAATAAGATTTAATATTTTTAGAATGCTGTGAACTCGGTGTACAATTACTACTTGTCAAAATAGCCTAGAAAAGGCTAAAAATTTGGAAAAATTTCATGCTTTCCCGAAGAATACCGAAATTACTCAAATATGGGTGCAGATTCAAAGGGTGTAGAGTTGTAGAGATGGAAAATGGAATGTAGAAACTTGTAGGATTTGTTCAGATCATTTTACCGATGACGATTATGAAAGAGATCTTCAAGTAAGAGGAATTATTAGGACTTGGAAACTAAGAAAAACATTAAAAGCAATTGGTAAATAATTCAAAGCTTTTTGGCTTTTTTGTAATATAATATTTTTAGTTATATAGGTATGAGTAGAATCTTATGTAAAAGTAAAAAACAGTCAGTCCACCTGACAAAATTGATCCATTGAGGCAAAAAGAGTTGAACAAAGAAGAAGAACACAAGTGGCGGTGGAGGAATTACTAATGAAAAATTTCGAGGAAAGCAAGGTAATGTTGCCAAGGAACACAGTACCGTAGCATCTGGAGCTGTTATTACTTGTGTTGGTCATCCAATGTATGATGAATTATTGTTAAAATATAATGAATTGAAAACTATCCTATCTCTAAAGGAAGAATTATTGATGGCAGAGGACCAAAAAATTAAGAAATAACAAAAACAACTTTTAAAATCTCAACCACACTTGAAGCAGAAAAGTCCTATAAAACAGTAGAATACTAAGTCGGTTAGTTTATTTATAAATTTTAAATTCAACTTTTGTTCTAAATTTAAACTTTAAGTTTAAAGAAAATAATACGTAAATATGTACAAGAAATGCTAAGAATTTTTTTTACAATGTAAACTATTTTTATTTATATACATGTCGTAAAATTGGTATTTCTGAATTGTTTAAAACTATTTGTACTAAATTTGCATGTACATCATTTATATTACAAATAAATAATTTATTGCTTTGATTAGGTACTTTGATTTATTTATTCCAATAACTATACAAATTCAGATATTACTAAATAAAAATTGTAAGGGTATTGATAATAATTTCAAAATATTAAATTTTATTTATTGTATCTATCTTTATAAATATATACCAAAATATTTATGAAAAAGAAAATCAAGATTTATTCACGATAAGATCCTTTTACAAAATCTTCAAAATTAATTAACTTTATACGTTTTAATACATTTACACATTTCATTTAAATTATATGAAAATAATTTAATTTTTTATATTTTAGAAAAATATAAATCATTACAAAATAATACCAATCTTTTTGTATTTTGCATTATTTTAAAGAGACGACAAAATACAAATTTAAACTGTTAGTACGAGAGAGACAAAATCCATATAACTTCTAGGCTAGACAAAGAGGAACTGGGTCTCGGGCTGACGTCACGCGCTATGATTGGTTGGGCTTAGGTGAGGTAACCTTTAGAGTATAATAACCTTGTATTTTCTGGGAAATTTTTTGATGCGTTTTAATCCGGCACCCATAATGGTGTTTTCAAGGTCAAATTTTATAGAAATTTAAAACAATGGGATCTGGGCAGAGTTAGCCTGCCGTGTGATTTATATGCCGTGTCGATAGTGTAATATATTTATACCTATATCAACCCTATTGTGAATTACCATTAATTGCCATTATCTTATATTATATCTCTGATATCTCTATTATTTATCTTCCTTTGCCAACATTTTCTTCACCTCAACAGTCGGGGGAAAAACAATTTCGAATTTCATTGGCATGGCTACCCAGTTACACGAATATTTTGGGCAATGATAAAGCTGATCAATTATCAAATATTGGAAAGACAAATGGTCGAGATGCTGAGATTAAATGTTGGTTTACTGATTTTATTCCAATTCTTAAGGAAAAGTTTTGGTCGTTATGGAAAGGCAGATGGAAGGAGATTTCTTGTACAAAAGGGAAAAATTATGCAGAAATTGTTACTTTTCCTTACAAAAGCATATGGTTTAGATCATGTAAAGATTTTACAAAGAAAAGATTGACAACCTTCTTCAGATTAAGAAGCGGATATTGTCTAATTCCGTCCCATTTACATCGTATAGGTGTAAATGCAGATTCCTTATGTGAGTGAGGAGAAATTGGAACGTTAAACCACATCTTTTTTGAATGCAATAAATTTCCCGCTTTAGTAGATAAACTATATAAATCACTTATTGGCTTTTACAAAACATCCCCTCATAATTTTACCTCCGCTTTGCATGCTCATCCAATTGTAGTTAATATTATAGGCGAATTCTTAGATAGTTGTGGAATTAATCTTTGACATTTTAAATGAAATTGTTATTAAATTTGTTTATTTTGCAGGATCTTCCTTTGCCAACATTTTCTTCGACTCAACAGACTCAACAGTCGGGGTATGGGATTTCCCGCTCGCTTCATAGCGATCCTCGTCTGTGTGTCATCATAAACGCTCAACCGTAGGTAGTTAATTCTACCTTCCGGCCGGATAGCCCATGGATAGCCCTAGCAGCTGTGGCCATTAAACTAATATACTACTACTTAACCTCGTTTCTCATTTTGTTTGAAGTTTTTTTGTTTGGTTCTGGTAAATGTGAATATTGTCTCTGATATTGCACTTATTTTAAATTGTATTTGTAGAAAATGTCTTCTATTCATATACATTTTTGGAAAAATGAATAGGAACACTTTGATACTAATCCCCAATTCGTTGTCCACCAATAAAACTGGTTTCATAGAAGGACTATACAGAGATTATGGATGTTTGAAAGTTTATTATATTACTAGTGATGAAGTTAAGGATAAGTCTAAAGATGTTATCGGCTATTGTAGTCAAATTTTAACTCCGAATCTTTTCTTTGAAAATACAATTTTATTTGAATATGGAACTAATAAGATTCACCTAAATGATAAAGAAACAAATTTTCATCAAATAACTGAATTAGTTTACGATTATGCTGTTTTTAAAAGTACCAATATAACTTTTTCAGAAAAAAAGTATGGGATACATATCAAACAACTCTCTGAAGGGATATCAAAATCTTCAAATATAAATCAAAGTATATTAAAACAACAATTTGTTAAAGTTTTGAGTTGCATTTCATTTATTACAAGTTTTCTACTTTTGGTATGTATTACTATATTTAAATGATATTCAGTTAATTCAATATGTAGATATAATATATTTTCTAGATATTTTCCAAATTTTTTCCCATAATAAACAATTCTGCTATTTTATCATACACTTATACGAGTTGTAGAAATATAGATGAATTTGTAAACATTTTAAGGAATCAGGAAGTTATATCTCTTAAAATATATAACAAGATTGTAGCTAAAATAATAGATATTATATTGGGCTGTGCATTTATATATTTTTGCTTGAAATATAAATATGCTATTGTAACTAAATTTGAACAAATCACTGAGGTAAATTTATTATATATAATATGAATGATTCAAAATGGGCTAAATTATAAATGTTTGATATATTGAAGGATTTGGTAAGCCTACTAAGAAACTTGTTGATTTATCTGATGGGATCTCCAATTGGCTTAAAACTAAATTACGCATTCAACCATTCTCTGGCACGATTTTTCTTTTACCACATAAATTTATGGAGAGTTTTTTTGGAAGCAATACAGCCTCATTTAGAAGCTAATTTTAAGATTTTATTAATTCCTGGGATATTTGGCATTTCATATCAAATAGCTTTGTTGTGTGATATCATTTCAGTAACTACTTTTCATATTTACTGTATTTATGTATATGCAGCTAGGTACATATTAGTATATAAATTATCAATTTCACAAATGCTATTGATGCTATTTTTTAGATTGTTTCATTTACAAATTAGAGGATTAAGTACTTTATGGCGACTTTTTATTGGTAGAAAATTTAACCCATTAAGAGGCAGAGTTGATTCATGTGAATATTCTTCAAATCAACTATTTATTGGGACATTAGCATTTACTATTCTTTTATTTTTGCTGCCAACTACTACATTGTACTACACAGTATTTGTTACAGTGAGTATTGTTATGAGAATACAAATTATTTTTAATTTTCTTTTTATACTGCCTTTTTATACTTAATAGAAATTGTACCTACTTTTATACAAGCTTTCTATTTCAGTTCAGACTTGTGACTGTAATTGTAATTGGGGTTCTTAAGAGAGTAACTAAATTAATTAGTAATATTCCACTTTACTTAACACTACTCTGGGTTTTTGGATGCCCAAGCATGGCAGGTAAATATATCAGATACAGGGTTAAGTATGTAGGCAAACTTTGGATGAATCTTGGAAAGGTTTTAAGATGAAAAGTTTATATAAACATAGGCCAAGAACTACTTCCTTTTGAATATAAAGGGTGTCAAAAACAGAACTTATTTTTAACCTTTTAGTTGATTTTGTTGAGAGAGAAATTTAGCAGTGATATTAATATTGGCGTTAGTGATGTTGATTTTCGTTACTTTTGATTACTCGTTACTAATTGTTACTTGGCTATTTCCCATCCTCCTCTGACAACAGATTTTCTTCCTACGAGGGTACACACCCTTCCACGGTTGGAGTTTGGCCCTCCGTGCCCTTCACAGTTGAGGAGCTTGGCTCCGGCTGAGGTACACTGAAGACTGTAGGCTGAAGGATCTGTCTCCATTTTCTCTACCTCTTTAACCTGGTCTCTCCTTAGACCTGATACCGTTGTTGTCCCGTATCTATAATAGAGGATATGTCCCCTTAGGTCCCTCTTTCTCTATTGTCTCACTGGATTTAAGGTCAATTCCTATTGTGAGGACCTGACCATGACCTTCATCCCCCGAGTTGATGACTCGCCAACTCAATGTCCTTACATTGAAGTTCTGACCCTGGATAAGGCTCAGCAGGTAGGTGGTGTCTTTCCCCTTGCTCCTCGGCAGAAAGACAGTGATGGCCGCCCCTTTAGAGATGTCTTCTCCCTTCACTGCAACCAGTTCCGGCCCTTGACAATTTTTAACCTTAGGTGTGATTTCGTTACTTCTTTTAACGCGATTTCGTTTTTCTTTCCGTTATTTCGTTTTGCATTCGTATCAAATACCCTAGATAATATTATAGGACTAGATATGACTATTATATTTTCATAGAACTCGCATTTAATTACATTTTTATGATACAATAATACATCCATATTAGGTATACGTATAAGTACGATACGATAAACTAAATGATAAATAGGTACTAGAAATAGTTATAGTAATCAAAGTAATCGAATGGTTTTAAATTCGTTACTCGTTTCTTTGGGTATGAATGATAATGGTAATGTAATGATTTGTATTCGTATGTTGCTTGCATTAATTTTTACGATAATTTACTTAAACAAATGCAAAAATGTTGTCTTTTGAGTTGTGTCCAATACAATAAAAATAGAATTAGAGTTAAATTATAATTAACAAGATATTTTAACAAAATCGACTATAAGATTATTAAGACTTTCAAAAAAATATTTATTTTTAAGTTTGATACCCTGTATAATTCAAAAGGAAGCATTTCTGGACCTTTAATTTGACTATGTATTAAATAATAGTATATAAAAAATCCAATATTATGGTTTATATTTTAGGATCAGTTCTTGTAAGTTATAAACATTCCACAGGAAGCAAAAATATGAGGGCAGATCTTAAATTAGTATCTCCCCCTCTGCTTGAATGTATTAGAGCCTTTTCATTTAATGACAAACATCACAGTGAATCAAGTCTAACACCTAACTTTTATCACATATTTATTGGAAAATTGATTTAAAATAAATAGGAAAATATATAACATTCTTCACATTAAATGTGAATATTATATAATATAGTAATTGGAGTCACAGATTAAAAAAATAAAACAAGATTTGTTATTTACAATTTTATTTATTCTTTTATCAGGTATTTTTATTTAAAAACAAAATTGATGAGAGCAAATGTATAACACGGACTGAATAACTCATCTGTTTTAAACCTAAACAATAAAAATTAACAATAAATAAAAGGACACATTGTAAAAATGGAATACAGATATATATTAAAAATGGCTATGCTTTGTACCTAATCGATTATGAAATTTTGAAATAAAATATATTACTACTTTAAAAGCCAAAAAATATTAGCTGTTGTCCATGTTGTGTGTTAAAATAATCTTTAACATAATTATAAACCGCACACCAATATTAAACTAACTAAAACACATATATTAGTTTTGAAGGAAATAATTGGATGATTTTAATTTTTTGACTTTATCAGATCTAAAAATTTAGAAAGTGACAGGAAGTCACTTTTATTAAATATAAACTTTTATAATACCAAATCTTTCTTATTTCTGAACTTTTTATCAAAATATCCAGAATATAGCAAAATCATATCATTAGGTGTGTTTCTAAGATATAGAAAAAATTAATTATAATTTTTTAATAAAAAGTTATTTTAACTGGAAGGCTCTAACAAAACCTGTTTTCTATATTTCTTAATTTATTTTTAATGATATCTTAATCCTAAGGGCTACAAGTAATTCGAAGTATGAAAATAATTTTCTAAGCTAAAAAAATTAACACAGCTTAAAGTATTTATTATATTAAGTTATTGAAGGGTGGTTTATACACCGTACATAGATTTAAAAAAAAATGTATGCGTTTTAAATAATTTATAATAATTTATTGTATCAAATTATTACTAAATCTTTCTGAATTATTACATTATCTAACTATAAAATATATACGACAATTTATTAAATAAACAGGAAACATTAGACGAACAATAATTTGTAATATTGGGTTAATATATTTTTTTTCAGGATTTTTATCATAGCGTTGCAAAAATGCGGGAACATAAGATCTCTATTTAATTTATGTCAATAACAGGACATAAAAAAATATAATCACAATATAAATATTCTCAGCCTGTTATTCCTAATAATATTTTGCACCATATTAGAGGAATAAAAAGATATCACCATTTACTTTCTAAAATAAATTAAATTTCTCCACCAGTAGCTAGGTACACCATTGGAGTAAATATATAACAATGTAAAAAATATTCAGGAATGAAAATAGCCGAAATACATTATAAATATTACAAAAAAAATCACATCAATGTCGTAATCAGAACTGTTTTTGTACATTTCATCCCTATCTAATTAATGTATATTGTCACAATAAAAACAATTACAACCTATTTATAGTACGAGAGATTACAACCTATTTTAAGACGTCTGGCTCTTTGATATATCTTTTACTATGCTCTCTAGAACAGCATGCGGCCCGTCTGGCTGCCGATAAACGTTGCGTTCCCTACTGCGCATTGAAAGAAGATCCTATATTTTCATTAGTCCTTTAAATTCTAGCATTGAATAGAAATCGAACATGTCTCCATAGCGCAGTGCGTAGAGTTTCCGACCACGAACCGATGATTCTAGAGTTCGAATCCGGGTCGGGGCAAAGACTTTTTTATTTTATTTTCGTTTATATTCTGATAGTAAAATATTAAATATTTGTTTTTATTTAATTACAAGAATTATTTAATAATTTACTATCAGAATATAAACTAAAATAAAATAAAAAAGTCTTTGACCTGACCCGGATTCGAACTCTGAATCATCGGTTCGTGGTCGGAAACTCTACGAACTTATTCACTTATTTATATTCAATACTAGAACTTATAGGACTAAATTAATAAAAAATATAGGATCTTCTTCCGATGCGTAGTAGTGAACGCAATGGGTATCGGCAGCCAGACGGGCCGCATGCTGTTCCAGAGAGCATAGTAGAAGATATATCAAAGAGCCAGACGTCTTAAAATACTTTCTCGAAAACGTTGCTAGCTCTTAGACTATTACGGCCTTTTAAATAAAATATAACTAATGGTTAAAATATTAGTTGTTGGTTGCAACGAATACATACATGGACTACAAATATTCTTAAATTCAATCACAAAGTGTTCAGTCCATTGTTATTATCATGGAAATAATATCGATTGTATAATACTGCTTGTTTTTAAGTATCTAAATATTTTTTACATGATTATTTATACACCAAAGGACGCCGAAATATATATCTATTTTTTTTAAGTTTTACACCAAGCTGGACTAGTAGCTGAGTTTAATTCATTTTAATAAGTAAAGGTTAGTCGATCCTATTTGGATATGCCATTCATACTGGTAGCTGAACCATTCACGGAAGAGTGTCTCGATCTCCTATAAAAATAATGATAAATAATACAGTTGAGTTCGAACCTTTTGTGTTCCAACAGCAAAATAAAACACTAATTCACCACAATACAGCGATTTTTTTTTAACTTTTAACACTGAGTGTGCGTTTCAGCAGCATCATCAGCAGATGATTAAAACAGGTTTAATCGTCTCAGTTGTGTTTATTAACTGTAATAATAGTGCTCATGGTGTATTGGCAGTGAATTAAAAAATAATTATTCTAGAAAATGTGTTCCGAAAATCTTATGAAGGCTTCATAGGACCGGATTAATTTAAATTTTCGCCTAAGTTAGTATTTTTGTATCTCTCATAACTCCAAAACTAATTTGTATAATCAAAGAATATTATAGTTAACACAATAGAAAACCCATCCGTGTAAAATTTTTGGAACCAAAAAGGAGCCCGGCTTTTTGAGCCGGGATCCATCGAGGCGCCGCAACGTTAAAAAGCGATTCCTTCCTTGTCTATGTTGCCAAATCGTACGCCAAATGCTACCGGCACACGCGGCGGTCCGACGGCGATCATCAAAGCCTTCCGTATTCCCCCGCACCTCGTTGTGAAGACTTCGTCACAAATTACCTATAACAGATGCGAAAGAAAGCGACTGCATCGGAAACCGCTCGGCAAACCCGACACGCCTATTGAGTGGTGTAAATACACCAGTCGTTTAGTCCGGAAACCTATGCTGTGTCGTATTCGCTTGCTGGAATGACATAGTGCGTGGTTATATGTTTCTTTTTAAAAACGCGTGTAGGATTTTTGTTGAACTTTGAACTGTTATTTCTAAGTTTTGGTAATTTGTATATCTTATTTAAAATGGGATGCAAATGTGTTTATTTATAAGGAAGAAAAAGATATTTATAGTATAAAAAATTAATTTATTTAACAAAATTTAATTAAAAATGTGACAAAATAGTTACCTTTCTATTGGTTCTATCGGACTTTTTTCGACTATATAAATCTTTATTTGTAAACTTTAATACATCAAATATTTCAATCTAATAAATCATTAAATGATGTAAATAAGAGGAAATTTCTCACATGGGTGGTCAAATTTTATAGTTTTCATTATATCAAACAGCCTCTGAGAAATGTTTTCAACTCAAAATGCCTTTAATTATGTTTGACTACATCATTAAAAAGAGTCTTCAAATACATCAATGTGATATTTGTCTAAAATTTGCAAAAGAATCCGAATCTCTGGATAACTCGAAATTATTTACCCATTTAAAAGCCTTTGATCATGAAAGTGGAAAAATTTGTTCATTTTATTTACAGGCTGGAAAATTATTTATATTAAATTTTGATGAGTTTTGCACTGAAGAAAACATTCAGAGGCTGTTTGATATAATGAAAACTATAGAATTTGACCACCCATGTGAGAAATTTCCTCTAATTTACATCATTAAATTATTTATTAGATTGAAAATATTTTATGCATTAAAGTTTACAAAAAATAAAGATTTATATAGTCGAAAAAAGTCCGATAGAACCAATAGAAATGTAACTATTTTGTCACATCTTTAATTAAATTTTGTTAAATAAATTAATTTTTTATACTATAAATATCTTTTTTTTTCCTAATCTCCTACGAGCTGATATAATATGACGAGCAATCTATTAAATTACTGTGAGATTATACAGAAAAGTCCACAGACTTCGAGACATAGGAAAATCAAGTCCATTTAGCGTGTGTCCAAATTTTGACAAGTTTTCAAAAATGACAGTTTTGTTTAGACTGACGTTTAATTTCACCTGACTTCTCGGTGAATGATTTCTTTTTATGGGGGTACATAAAATCTAAAATTTACGGCCATGAAGAAATTCAAAACTTGGAGCAGTTAAGGCAGAAAATATTTAATGCCTTTGACACTGTCACCCCTGATATGTTATCCAATGTGAGGAGGGGATTTTATGATCGTTTGGGTTATTGTTTAATGCAAGAGGGAGGCACTTTTGAACAATTTTTGTAATTTTTTAAATTTCATTATCCTGTTTTTTTACCGTTTACCCATTACCTACCTTGACGAACATGGGAAAACGAAGGTCCTTTTCAGGACCACAAATATTTTGATTGAGAAAATTGGTAACTTTTTTTTGGATTAAAAAACAAAAGTTGTTAATATATACCAATTTAAAAGTGTTTTGGTAGTTTTAATACACACTATGATATAAAATTTATTATTATTATAATGTACATTATTAATACTATTGTTCATTCGAAATGGCATTAAGGCCCAATTGCAACAATGATTTAAATTTTTCTTAAAGATAAGTAGAGCTTAGAATGAGCTGTTTTTATATTTACTTTAATATTCACCTTAAATGAGGAAATTTGACTGATACAATTTTTGAATTTGAATTGTTTTTAATGATACTAACAATTTTAGTTCAATTTTTAATAACATTTATTTAATATTAATAGAAATCCAAGAGATTTGAAACCTCTTTTAGCGATTTATAACATTCTCAAATGAATTACAGGTGCCCTTATTTTCTATGAAATTCACACAGCTTTTTTCATAGTCGCTGCAGTTGCTATAGCTATAAAAAACTAATTTTTTAAGGTGTGAAAATTGCGACACACGCTAAATGGACTTGATTTTTCGTATGTCTCGAAGTCTGTGGACCTTTTTGTATGCCTCGATAACATATTGGTGCAGATTATTTTCACCCAAACAAATAATAACCCAAACTATACATTGATGCGGATTGTCTATGAACTCTTTCTGAAGGTCACAGAAACCTGAACGCGTAATTCGGTGTTCTTTCGCATCTGTTATAGGTAATTTGTGACTTCGTGGTGTGCTCGTTTTTTATATTTTGAATTGTGGATTTTGCTTTATTATTTTGAATTATTATATTTTGATTTAAGTTTTCGTGTTTTAAAAATATGTCGGACAATGTATGTCAATATTACAATTGCAGACTATCAAGGAGGGACAATCCTAATTTAAAAATGTTTAGGTTCCCTTATAAAAATCGAAGTATATGCGAACATTGGATTTTAAATTCGGGTAAGCAGAGGCGTGACTGAATATTATGCTGGATTGTCACGGGGATTGTCTTCTAAAAAAAATGCAAGATAAGTTTTAGATAGTCCAAGAATGCAAGATAAATTTGTTTAGAGTGCAGTTCAAAATTTCACAACCAAGACCTTATTGCTCATCAACTTGATTAAAAAAAAACTTTTTACTGAACAAAAATTATGAGGTGGACAGACTTTTCCTAATTGTGCCATGTACAGAAATTTCGGACTTAGTCCAAAAGATGTTTATTTTGTCGAAAAAATATTTTAATGAATATAAAGAACAAGAATATTTAGGTCTTAAAATAAATAGCAAAATTATTGCGAAAAGTGAGATTTCGATTTGGTTAGGTAGTAAGGAAAAAACATGCTACCCACACAAACTTTTTTTAATGAATTATTTAATTATTACTAATATCTTCAAATTTTGCAAATGGAAAGAAGTTAAAAAAAATGACAAACAAAAACCAAAAAGTTTAAAAAATAAGTAGAATTTTAGCATATCTACCCTACAGAAATAACAATTTTACTAGTTCATTTGAACCCGTTAATGAGATATTTTAGGGCCTTTTTTGTGTTGGTTCTGCTTTACAATCTAGATCCGCCTCATCTGGGGATACGAAACAATTCATTTCAAAAAAATTGATTTTAGTTACTTGTTGCAAAAAATTCCCTTTTTACTATTTACACTGTTACCGCCAAATCTTGTTTATTATGAAAAATTAGATTGTCTTATTTCTGATTTGTTTAGTAAAATAAAATTATTTAATTTGTTAGCATAAATTTTAGAATAATTGTAGATTTCGTTTTTAGATACTTAACTTAACCAGTAATTACTTATTGTCTGATGTAAATAATGTACAGTATTAGCATTTTATTTTGTCCCATTTTTGCCAGGCTATAACTTTTCTATTTTTGTATAGAACATTCATTAAAAAACAAATTTTAGGGGGTTTAGTCAAGTTTTATTGTTTATTATAATCAATAATGTCATTATAGTTCCAAAAGGTCACCGTTATTGGTATGAACTATTTTTTTAAATGGGACACCCAGTATGTTTAAAGTGTATTTATACAGGGTGTTTCAAAAAACATGTGCCATCTCTCGTGGGAAGACTTCTTACGTAAAAATAAGATTAATTTTTCATATCAACATAGGTTCAATTCCGCTTTGTTTCGTAGCTACAGGGTGTTAAAGTCTTAATATTTTTTCGATTTATTATAATTTTCTTATATTATTTCTTTCCATGTACTTTTTGGCGTTTTGAATTAAATTTTCAGGGTAAAATTTAATAAATGCGAAAAGAGTGTGGACATATTCATCAGGGACGTGCATATGGGTTATCACTGGAATATTTTCTTAAAAAATCATGTACGCCACTGACTTTTTTTCTCTTGTTAGCGAAATAGTGTAGGTAAGTAGTTTAATGCCGATTTAAAAGTTGTCTCTTGATATTTTGTCGATTTCGGCCTCATTGATGAGATAAACGCAAAACGATATTCTCATCAAAAAATATGAAAAAAAGTTCCTATAAACATGGGTATGGAAATGCATAGTTTTAGAGTTACAGGATGTTAAAATTTTTTAAAATTAGGTTTTTTGTTGTTATCTTAATAACCAATATTTTTTTATTTGAAATAGCTGTATGTTGGATTAGTTTGATGTATTATTACTAGTAGAATAATGACATAGTAATAATATTTAATAATAAATTAGGTAAATATATAATTTATTATTTTTTTATTTTTATTTTAATTTTATTAATTATTGTGATTAATAAAATTGCGTTTATCTCATTAAGGAGGCCGAATTGGACAAAATATCAAGAGATGCCTTTTAATTGGGATTAAACGGCCTACACAGTTTTGATATCAAAAAAAAGTCGGAGGCGCACATGTTTTTTTGCACGCCCTGATGAATTTATTGACGCTTTTTTAGCATTAAAATATGTAACACTTATAGTAACTTTTACCCCAAAAATTTAATTCAAATCACTAAAAGTACTTGGAAGAAAATTATAATAAATCGAAAGATTATTAAGACTTTAACACCCAGTAGCTACGAAACAAAGCAGAATCGGACCTATGTTGATACGAGAAATAAGTCTTATTTTTATGTGAGGAATCTCCCCACAAGAGATGGCACATGTTTTTGAAACACCCTGTATAGTACATTTTTATTCTGTTATAAAAATTAAATGAATCACACATGTTCTTTCTTTTAACAGTTTTATCGAAATTCGAAAAAAATATAAACCAATGTTAATATGTAATTTGTTTCAAGTTCGGTAGTTTTTAAAGGGACACCCTGTATATTTTTTTATTTTATTTGCCTTGTTATGAGCTTTCTACAAATATAATATACTTATTTTCACAAACAAGGTAAAAAATGCATTTTTTAACTTTTTAACATGAATAAACTTGTTTAAAAGAATATTATTATTTTATTTTATTTTATTTAATCAGATAATTATGCTTTCTACGGTGTTATCTTAATAAACTGCACTGAAAATGAACTTGAGTAATTTTTACATAACACGGGTGTCAATCAGAGTTACAGAAATTGTTGATGCACTTGTGCAATAAGTTTACACACAGAAGCGTGGAATAACCAACATCTAAAATTTGTTTCGTCGAAACAAAAGTCGAATAAATATTCGATTGTGTTGATTACGCAATTCAAACAAGCCGCGTATGTGAAAAAGTTAAATATAATGCATTTTTTACCTTATTTATAAAAATAAATATAGATTACCTAAATTATATTTTTAGAAATCCCATAGGAAGGCAAATCAAACGAAAAAATAATAAAATACTAAATAATGAAAACCTCATCTTTGTACCTCTACTCATAAATGAGAAACCCTGTAAAACACACGAAAATGGGACACTCTGTATATACTATAAATATCAAAATGAAAAAAACATAAATTTTTTTCTCATCTATAAGTCAATATATTTAAAACTTTTCATTTAACTAATTTTTAGATTTGACTCGACAAATTTTTATTTTGTTTCTTTGATTGTCAAATGTTGTTATGTAGCTTTTTGTAAAAATGAGTGTTATCTATTAAAATATGTTTAGTTTTAGTTTTTTTTTTATTTCAAGTTAACTTGTATCAAATTTCCAAAAAAATTCTAAAGATAAATGCATTCAATATAATTTTCTAATTAAATATATAGATGTCTTCTAAAATACAGTTATTGGCAACGCCGCGTCTCGTTCACGAGGGTTTCCGCACGAAATATTAAAGTTTACGTGTGCATTGATGTCTTCTGGCCGGTTCCAGCCGTCCCATTTACGTGGGTTATCTATTCGTAGTAGAATTATCTTTGGTATAATAGGCCAGTAAGCGAGGGTTTTAAGGTCCGAATTCCGAACACCGGCACCGATTGACGTGAAATTTTAACAGTGAATAGAGATATATGTAAGAAACAAAAGTTACAAAGTAGCGATGGGTGTTTTCATCCTGGGGATGAGTGCCACCCCTCCTCGGGGATGAAAAATAAATCACCCATTTTAATTACAAAAATCAATAAAGGGATGAGTTCTAAGCAACAAATTCTCTATAACGGTTTTTTTAGAAAATTAATATTTTCCTAGTTATTTAGGATTGAAAATGTTGATTTTTCATCTAAAACTGCATATTTTTCAGCCATCTTTTATAAAAAAACTCGAAAGTCTTGCGTTTTATCACAAAACTCATATAAACCAAAAATGAAGCTTTTGGAATAACGAATCGATTCATTTTTTGCTGATTACCGTAGGTGTAGTAATAGCCGAGTTATCGCTCTGTAAAAGTGATTTTTTATTTTTCGAAAACTTAATTGCAACCTTTTACCGTAAAATAATGGCGAAAGAACACATTTTTCGAAGAAAATGAATATGGCCGTTTTTAAAGTGCTTGAAAAGACATTTTAAATGTCTTTTTTTTAAGGTATTTTCAAGTTTGTAGCTCAAAAACTCGCGGAGTTATGATAAAAATAAAAAGGTCGGCTCATTTTTTCAGAAAAAAATTAATAACAAAATCTATGACTAAAATCATAAAAATAAAAACTATCAATTTGTAGGAAATTACACGAGCTACAAATTAACCTCTACAGTTGAATCGGAACAGTCTTGAACTCTTCATTTTCACGAGATTTTTGGGTTTTAAGGGCTCAAAGAAGGTGGAAGTCAAACTAAAAACACTTAATATCTACGAAATAAAGAGATCTACAGAAAAATTGAAAGAAAGCAAAAATATTACAAAAAAGGACCTTCAATTTCAATCCCAAATAACTCGGAAAATATCAATTTTGTGAAAAAATGTTATAGAACATTTTTTGCTTAGAATTCATCCCTTTATTGATTTTTGGTGATTAATGAATTAAAATGGGTGATTTATTTTTCACCCCCGAGAAGGGGTGGCGCTCACCTCCAGGGTGAAAGCACACATCGCTACTACGTAACTTTTGATTCTTACATATATCTCTATTCACTGTTAAAATTTGTCGTCAATCGGTGCGGGTGTCAAGAATTCGGAGGTAATACCCTATTTTCATCCTCGCTTACTGGCCTATAAAGTATTAAATTTGAAATGTGAACAATTTGCTTCAATTTAAGAAGTTCTTTAAAAAGTATCAAATAAATTTTTCTGTAACATAATATGGAGAAAACTTATTCGAGTGGTTGGTTGCCGGAGGCAGTGTTGCCAGAACTACGGATTAATCCTTATATTTACGGATTTTGGGTCCAGTGCATTAATAATACGAAATTTCTATCATTAAACAATTTAATATAATATTATGTGATTAAACAAGGAACGGCGGCGCCAGAGTTGGCTTGGAAATGAAGATCGTTGTTATTTCATATGTAATAATAAGATTTTGGTAATTAGCTAGTTAATTCATAGGAAATATTCCTTTACAATTAATTACCTCTAATTTATGTTAGGCTAGTAGACATACTCCAATTTTTGCTGATATAAATATCTGATTTAAAAATATAAGTATAGATTATCTAGTTAGTAGGAATAAATTGGGACTTAATTTCGGCACTGTCTTTGTTGGCATCATCTGAACAAAGGAATTAAGAGTCTCAGAATTTCCAATTGACTTGGGAAATACTATACAAAATTAAATCAGTGCTATCTGATGTCGACTTTAGAACATTAAAACAACAATATATATATATATATATATATATATATATATATATATATATATATATATATATATATATATATATATATATATATATATATATATATATATATATATATATATATATATATATATATATATATATATATATATATATATATATATATATATATATATATATATGTCTGTACTATGTTTTAAACAAAATTATTAACTAATTAAATTTACTTACCTCAGTTCACTAGTTTGGAGATCCCTAAAATCTAAACGACGTTCTAAACCCTGCAAAAATGTATATAATTATTTCAGATATTATCTTAATTAAAATATATTTAAAAAAATCTCCTCCAAATGAGATATAAATGCCAAACACACCAAAATTTAAAACATATCAAAATAATGACTTCTCACTAGTTTTCCCAAGTAGTTTTATAATTGATATAAGTAGTAAACCTATGAATTAAGAAGAAAACTGTTTAGGTTACCATACTCCTTACTTTATTCATTTCGTCTTTTTATGCAATGGATAGACTATACTAGACGATTATTTAGTAAAGACGTCTGCATAAAATGGACTTGTTTCATACAACCTTCACTACGAACTGTGAAAATAGCCCGCTGAAGGCACCATATTATGTACACGCGACGAAATGTAGATACCGTATGATCGAAAATAAAACCGGCGCGGCGTCCAGTTGGCTTGGTAATGAATATCGATGATATTCCCCATATAATTTTACCTTTGAATAAAAGGATTAAGGAAGGAGCATATCAAAAAACTTATGTCGAGCGCGATGGGGGCTAAAAATGGTCGACTTAAATTCTGGTTTATCAGTGCTGTTCTAATTTTATTTAAAACGTGTAAAAATATGATGTAGGGTAGACTCAATAATATGTTGTTTTATTTTACGTTGTCAATAATTAATATAAAAATTATACCGTGCTGGCAACTCTTACTACTTATGGGTTGGTATTTACATGTGTGGAAGTAATAAATCGCATAGGGATTTTGTTAAGGCGGAGTGAGAGAAATGCGACGGTGTGCTGTTGCGGCGTTGCCACATTTATTCGGTACGCCTTTCTCTATTCTCTATTCTCGTTTATTTTTAAAAGACTTTTATTTTCGAAAAGACAGGTAGATAAGATATGTTTATACAGTATATTAGATATATGTTTCTGAGCATCTGAAATGGAATTATAAGGATATCATTAGGGTGTCCATTTTTTTTGATAACGAGGAAAAGTCAGTAATCGCGAAAATTTAAAAACTCAACCTTTTAACACATAACACGCGATAACTCAAGAACTACTTTAGATATTGAAACTTTTTTATGTTGAAGTTCGGATCTTTTACAAGATGTTTAAATAAGAAAAAAATCGATAGGATTGTTTTTTTCCATTCAGAATTTAAAAGAAACCCATTCATTTACTTTTAGTGCATTGTCATTTTCAGAAGTCGGGTTACCTTTTTTATTTATAAAAATTTTCACATACTGCCTGCGGAGAAAATATAGCAGAAATATTAAGAAAGTTTTGAAAAAAACTACAATCAATTATTTTTAACGAATTTCGAGATATCGAATTTTGAAGTAAGAGTTCTAATAGCGCGACCACTGTCGAACACCAACTCAATTCCACTTTCTACCAAAAGTGCAAGTGTTTCTAACTTGCACTTAAAAATTTACAAGCTATAGAGAAAATTACAACGACTCGTTAATAAATAAACAAATATGGTATTACGAGACGTAATTAAATCGTGAAGCTCAACACATGATGTACACTATTCCCTAGAATTTTAAGTACTGATATGGTACTGATTGCGTCGACCGCGACGAACCTGCTATATCCTCCTCCACGTCTCTTAGCAATGTGCACAGTTTCTGGGTTTATTTCATACGTTTGGCAACGTTTTTACTGTTCTCTCTTTGTTCAGTACATTATAAACGCCATTGTACTCTTTTTACATACGGAAATATCGACCCAAGACTAACCTTTGCCCCCCAGCTCTTAGTATAGTTACTTACTAGTGAAAAGTTATTCCATTATTTCCGTCGATTTTTGACCGAGATCAACCGCACGTTACACAACCAACTACTTTACAGTCTTTTTCGATAATTCGCAATAGTGTCACTGTTAATTTAAGTTCTGTGACAAAAATTTACTATGTCTATTCTACCAGTTATAGAATAAATTATAAATAACATAAAATAAGCTCAGCAGAGAAGCTCAGTAAATCCACAAAATGTCAAATCAAATTCAAATGTGTCAAACGAATCGTCAAAAAGAACTGTCAAGGATCCCCACCCTAGGCCCCACCTCCGTCTACCATATAGAAATGCATGGATAGTATTACACACCTTCCTTAATCTTTTTATTCAAATCATTTCATAGCCATCGCTGACGCCGTTTTTTGTCTCGATCATATTGTACGTTAGTTTTTAATAACTAGAACTAGACAGTAAAGAATATGAAGATGTATGATCTCGCATGGTACATAATATTTGATTGACTGTAGTTAAACATATAAGACTATAATTAATCGTAATGGATAGCTCTTATACCGGGTGGCGCCTCTCATACGCCGTGGAAGCTCCAAGGAGAACGGTAGTTTATATCGGAATGCAATTTTGGCAGCATATGTAGGTTAACTGAAAGCATTTTATAAAAATATATAGAATTATACAGGGTGTCCCCAAAAAAAGTTATACATCAAAGTGTTTTTTTTCTAATGGAACACCCTATATATTAATTGATTTTCGGAATTCTAGAAAAAAATAAATCTGAGTTTTATTAAAGAAGCATATACCTAAAATCTAAGGATTTTGACATATTTCACATTTTGTGAAAATGAAGAGTAAATTTTAAATTTTGATAATAGCTACCCAAAATTTAGTTGACCTTGTATAGCCTGATATTTAATTACAGTAACCATCGTATGTTAAACCAAATTGAAATTTGACCCGAGAAGTTATACAGGGTGAGACAAAATTAATACGGAACATTAGTCACTTTTAAAAGCAAGTTACTCCTTTATTTTAAATAGAACACCCAGTATATTTTTCCGGTATTCAATGGGGAATTTATATATCTTCAAAATATTATTAAGGTTGCCTACCCCTCAGACAAAGATTTTCCTAGATATTTTAATTTTTATGATTTTGCTTCAGTAGATCTTTATTATTTGATAAAATCTAGGTGGCTGTGTGAGATACCTTTTGTTAATTTAACAAAAATTAACGATTGTAGAGTAAAAAACTCAACGGTAATAAAAACAAACACGTTTAAAACATATTTTAATTATTACAGAATTAAAACTAGATATAAACTTATAATTATGTGACAAAAATTAGCCAGATGAAATCAAATGCTCAAAATGCTTCCTTTCTTGTTAACTGCTAAAATGATTGTCTTTTCAAAAGAATCTTTTCATTTTAAACGGCATATGTGGACTTCTACCTCGAAAAGCAGCTACAATAATTTCTCTCAAGTTGTTGACAATAGTTGGTCGACTTTTGTAAACACTGTTTTTAACATGTTCCCATAAAAAAAACAGACTAGATAAAATTAGGAGCACTTAAGTATTCTATTAATTGGTGAATGCACACTGCATTCACCGATTAATAGAATCATATTAATTCTCTCTGATGTAGGATAAGTTTGCGTTTTAGGCAAATTTCTGAGAAATTTTTTATTTTAACTGACAAAAAAATGATAACTTGTTGTTAAAGTTGGACTAATTAGACAGCTATGTTGAAGTAACGTCAGGCATATCACAGTCACCTAGATTTTATCAAATATGTATAATAGAGATCTACTCAGATCAAATCATGTAAATGAAAATATCTAGGAAAATCTTTGTTGGAGGGGTAGGCAACCTTAATAGTATTTTGATGAGACATGAATTCTCCATTGAATATCAGAATAATATACTGGGTGTTCTATTTAAAATAAAAGAGTAACATGCTTTCAAAGGCGACCAATGTTCAATATTAATTTTGTCTCACCCTGTATAACTTTTTGGATCAAGTTTTAATTTGATTTAAAGTACAATAGTTAATTTAACTACATATTAGGCTATACCGGGTGAATTCCAGTAACTTAAAAATTGTTCGTTATTTCTAGAAAATGTTAAATATGTCAAAAACCTTACATTTTAGTCATATTATCTCTTATAAAACTGACCTTATAAAACTCACCTTTATTTTTCTCCCCGAATTCGAAAATCAATTAATATACCGGGTGGGTCTCAAAAGTGGCTCACCCCTATAACTTTTTTATTTTTTCAGTTAAATAAACGAGTTCCATTCCGTTCTATTCAGAATGTCATTTTCTATCGAATAAAGTAAAAAATGCTGAGGGTGCCATTTAAAAATCAAAAGTTGTAGTCATTTCCGGCGAAACAGGAAGTGACCAAAAACAATTGAATACGTCAATGAATCCTAATTTATGTCATATACACACATACCAAATCTCATTTATTTATCTGAAAAAATAAAAAAGTTATAGGGGTGAGCCACTTTTGAGACGCACCCGGAATAGGGTGTTCCATTACAACGTAGCCAAACTTTGATACGTAACTTTTTTGGGGACACCCTGTAGAACTCTTTATATTTTTAAAAAGTGCTCTGAATTAACCTAACAAAATTTCATTTCTGTACAAACTGTCGTTCCCCTGTGGAGCTTCCGCTCGCGGCGTATGAGAGGCGCCACCCTGTAGATAGCTAGTATAAGATTAAAATAATTCTGTGTTTCAACTATTGTAGTTAAAGGTTAATATAAACTAAAAAAAATAAAATAAAAACTTACTATTCACCCAAACCATACCAAACACTACAAATTGCAACTATTCCTATTAAGCCGCGTACGGTCCGGTTTGCACATGGTACATTTAATTTGACCACAATTTGAACAAAGGAACCGGGTCAGCTAAAAAGCACAACAAAAGAGGTATCGTGCATCAAATACTAAAACCCCATGCCATGCTGGAAAAAATTTGTGTGCGGTATAAGCAGTCTAATTTTGTCTTTAAATAGTGGTGTTCTAACAGAAACCAAAACTACCGTCTACTAAGTCGTATTTCTCTTGTCAAATTTTATGAATGTCAGGAGACATGGCTTATTTTAACTTATTTCCATACACTAATAATGTATAATTAATAAAAGTCATTAATTATTATAAAGTTATACAATTTAGATTTTTTACACAAAAGCACACATTTTAAAAGTCGTTAAAGTATTAATAATATTTGCCTTTTTTTAATTTTGAAGATTATCTCCCATTTGGGGAAATATTTTTTATATTTATCGAGAATGAATAATGAAATGCATGATATTCCTAAAATGTCCAAGAAATATTTCTGAGGTAATTTTTGACACAAACTAACACCATTTTTACTTTACTGCTGATATAGTACACCTTGTAAATGATTTTGAGAGATGTCCAAATAAAGATGTGAACATATTTTACATGGGAGAATGGCAATACTACAAGTAACTATTAAATCAAAATGATAGCTAACTGTGCCATCTTAAAAGTGGGTGTTGTAAATTTGATTATGGATATTGTCGATATGAAAAGATACTACACTCACAGGCACGAATAACGAGACCTTAAAATTTTCATGTATTTTAAAATTGTATAAAAATAAATAAAAAAGTTCGTATAAATATACAGGGTGTCCCAGGCTGAGCGTGCATTAGAAGTTTCTAGTGAACTACAATATCTAGATCAGAGATTTTTTGCACATCACTGTTTTACAACGAGATCTATCGATTAAAAATATTTTCAATATGGCGGCACTTCCAGAAATACCGGAAGTTGACAGCAACTTTCTTATTTTAAATGGATACCCCCATTTTTTATTACATACTTAAATTCTAGGTAAAATTTTATGAATTTTGATATCAAACACTCTATACATAACATTAACCGTTTTTCAGAAAAAAACATACTTAAAATTTTGGGAGGAAGAAAAACTAACTGTCAAAAAATGTTTTATAGCCTAAACAACAAATTTAGTGATTATCACAGCCACTATGGCATAAAGAGAAAACATGTGGCTATCTAACTCAAAAATTAAATTGTTCGAATGTCCTATAATATTGACCGTAGCTGTCATGAAATTGACCGATTAATAAATTATCATAAATCATTTTTTTTTCAAATGGAAACCCACTTTTTATATTTCACTACTGAAAAGGTTTTTTAATTCGTTACTTTTTGATAATACATGTTCCTATACCTAAAATAACTGGTTTTTAAGTTATTTAAGACTTAGTTTTAAAAGGGTATATTTTTTGTTATTTAACCAGTAGGCTTATGACTTTAAACGTCACGCGATGTAAAACTATATCTGGCCATGTCATATTGCCATTAGCTATCACTAAAATACGAGATATATTTTTATAAATACCTACACTTTAAAAAGTTTTACCAGCAGTATTTATAATATATGAAATTGAAATAATTAGTTTTTTGACAGAAGGAAATAAATTGTCTGATGGTTTGACACTTAATGTCAAAAGAAGCTAGATAAAATTAAGAAAAAAATACGCTTTAAAACTAAATCTCAATTAACTTAAAAACGATTTATTTTAGGTATAGGAACATGTATAATCAAAAAGTTAAGAATTAAACAACCGTTTCACTAGTGAAATAAAAAAGTGAGTTTCCATTTGAAAAAAATTATTTATGATAATTTTTTAATTGCTCAATTCGATCACAGCTACGGTCAATATTATATGACAAACGCGCGCGAAAAAATTAAATTTTTAAATAGATAGCCACATGTCTTCTCTTTATGCCACAGTGGCTGAGGTAATCAATAAATTTGTCGTTTAGGCTTACCATTTTTTTACAGGCAGTTTTTTTCCTCCAAAAATTTTAAATATTTTTTTCTCAAAAACGGTTAATGTTAGATAAAGAGTGTTTGATATCAAAATTCATAAAATTTTACAGAGAAGTTGCTGTCAACTTCCAGTATTTCCGGAAGTGCCGCCATATTGAAAATATTTTTAATCGATAGTTCTCGTTCTGAAACAGTCATGTGCAAAAAATCTCCGATTTAGATATTGTAGTTTTCTAGAAACTTCTTTTTGATGTCGATATGACTCCTATTTGTAGGGGGCGCCACCTACATGTGTCTTAACTATTTTGAAAAATACTAACTTTTTGTCCCTTTTTTTTACCTTAGTGAAAAATTATACATTTCCGTGTCTTTTTATGTAAAAAATGTCTCTTGGGAAAAATCGCTACGAGCAACCTTTCTCAAGATATTTAGAATGGAAATAGTCAACACATGTCATTATTGACAAAAAAATAAACACGTGCGTCGGGTAGATAATAATAAATTTGGGAAATTTTTATTTTTTTAAATTAATCATAAATTTTTCTTCGAAAAAATGATGATAAAACAGCATCCTGTTGAATTTTTGGCACAAAAATATTTCAAATTTGTGATTTCAGTATAATAACTTAATTTAGTGAACATGTTTAATTTATGTCAATGATGACAGGTACTGATAATTTCAATTCCAAATATCTCCAGAACCATTTCTCGTAGCGATTTTTACCAAGAGACCTTTTTTACGTAAGAAATATCGTAAATGTATATGTTTTTACTCAGTAGTTTTATACAGGTACAGACGAAAAGTTATTACTCTTTCAAACCAGTTAAAAAATATGCAGATGTCGCCCTCTACAAATAGGAGTTATATTGACATCAAATTCAAATTTCTCATGTCAAAAAACTACCAGGGCTGGAACTCTGTAACTAAATAGCGATCGGTATCGATAAAGAATACTGATCTTGGCCGTGCAAACTAAATGGCAAGCGACAGTATTCCTCATCGCTACCGATCGCTATTTCGTTTCAGAGTTCCACCCCTGATTTGGAAAAAATCGAAATAAAATGAAACTTCTACATCCTCTATCTCCGAAACTAAGCATTTTAGGATATACATTTATACGAGCTTTTTTACTTATTTTTATCTGCAGAATACGCTACCGAAGTTTCCGGAATACAGTTCGGACCATTCTTGTATATTGTGTTCTAGTGGACCGATTTTCATGATTTTTTAAGCAATTTGTAGGTAAATTATTTGACTTTTTAGTATCTCTTTCGAAATTAAAAATGAAAGTTGCCATTTGTCAATTATACGAGGAAAAACAAAATGTTGCTATTTTGGTGAAAGTTTGGAACACTCTGTGGAGTACGTTAAACAAAGCAAGAAATTTCAAAATCGTTCTGTTATCTAGACGTCTCTTTTCTCGATAGTTTACTTTTTGATTCATATCAATAGCTTTATTTTTTTTAGATATTCGCTTTTAAAGAAGCCACGAATATAATAACACAGTAATATTTTTTTTAGAATTTTTACGTTAAAGCCATGCCTTTGCTTTTGGTCCTAGTCAACAGACCTATAAAATAGTGTGTATGATTTATTGAATGTCACTATCTTTGAAAAATCATATTATTATTGTCTGTTGAGCAGATATGGTTTTAAGTCCAAAAGTTGATCTCTACCTTGATCAATTAAATCAACAACAGCCGATACTTCAGAACGTAAAACCGTCTCTACTAGAGTAAACGCTAACAAACAATAATAATATGACTTTTCAATGACAGTAACATTACAAAATCAGTAAACACTATTTTATGTTGATGAGGACCCAAAATCAATGCCAAAATTGCTGTAAATCGTAGTGATGGGCAAAACTGTTATTTTTAGATAACAGTTGAAACTGTTATAGTTATTTATAAAAAACAGCTTAAAATAACAGCTTAAAAATAACAGGTTTCTTTATTTTACTGCTAAATATCTGAAAGAGTATGAGACGGTAGTGATGGGTTGTTATTTAACTATCTGTTATTTTATAACAATTATTTATAAATAACATAACGCAACCGTTACTACTTCTAAAAAATAACAGATATAAAATAACGACACGTAGAGATCGGCCGCTCGTGAAACGAAAAACGAAGTCGGCGCTCTGCATCACCACGAAATTCTATGCTGCTCGAAGCAATTCCAAAAAACAACTAGTATGGATGGAAAACATGTTATTTCGTCAACCATCGATACAGGCAGACGACACTAAAACTCACGATACCCTAGACAAGGAAAGGGAATCTCTCTTTCCTTCTCTAAGGACAAAATACTCGGAAGCTGAACCGCGCAACCGCGGTCTACGTCAAACTCAGCTGATCTTTGCCGCTGATGGACTTTGTAAACAACGGCACTTTTATAAATATCAGAGTAAATATGGCCTATTTAAAAAACAAGGTAAAAACTCAACAGCATTCCTGTATTTTTAAACAATACCAAAAATACTAAAAGCATTTAAAGAAGATTTACAATTTGTGAATGCGTTTTGGGGATCCAGCGATTCATATAACTAGTAAGAAAAGTTTAGAACTAGTTTAGAAAATTAATATTACAGACTGGATTATTTTTAATTTGTGTTGTTTCACTTAATTTTGTGAAAAACACTATAATAAGAAGAAACGTATTATTTGCCCACTGTGTACTCTAAATATGGTAGTCTATATAGTTTGTGGAAGTTGCAGTATATTGCAACAACATTTGAAGGTAAACACCATGAAGTAATAAATTGAAAATGGAAACACATAACTTTACCTATGACTTTGCTACAAAGGAAAGTTATAAACTGTGGTATGAAAAACAGAAGATCAAGATAAATTATGCATTCGCCAAGCCAAGAAAATATAATGACTGCGTGGAAAAAAACTTTCAATTATTATCGTAATCATAGTAAATCAGCCAGGTAGGTAAAATAGAAATGAAAAAAAAACACTATGCCAAATAGTCTCTTTTTATTTTTAGGACACGTCAGCAATTATTGTTCTAAATGAACAGAGAAGGCCAGTAGTTCAATAAAAAGACCATATAATGAGCCATAAAAGGAAAATGGATAAGCAAGAATTATTCCCAACAAAGTGAAAGAGGTTATTGGTTTAAGGCTTTATTTATTTTGTTTTTGGTCTTACTTAAGTAAATATGTATTGACTGTTGGGGTAAGGGTTTTATATTTATTTTGTACTACTTACTACTAACCTGTACAATGTGGTATTGTTTATTGTTAAAATTATTGTATTGTATTGTTGTAATTATTGTATTTTCTTGACATAGAACAGCCATAAGTTTCTTGCAGTTTCTTTTTATAGGCCGTAATCGAAACTGCAACATTCTAATAAAAGTAGAATATAAATTTGTTTTTTTATTTCTAATATGTTACAGTAATTAAGCTAACAAATTTTCCCAAAACGTTTATTTCCCCATGAAAATGTGATTCAATTTAAGAACTGATATTTTAATAAAAGATTTGAGAGTAGAATTTGAGAATAATGAGCTCTCTCCAAGTAAAGCTATGGTTCTCACTTATGCATCAAATTAGATAGTGATCATGAATCTGCAAATGAAACAATTTTTAATTTACACCAATAATCAATGCAACTTTGACTAAAATCACTTGATGTAGGCAATATATGTATATAACGAAATATCAGCCATATACATTAACCACCTTCCTTCTTTAAAATGAGCAAATAATGACAAATTACATTTCGTAACTTTAATGGCATTTGTATGTTTTATATGAATGCAGATCAGTTTTTAAATATAGCCATATTTCTAAAAATAGTCAAAAACTATAAAAAACAAAATGAACAACCAAAACAGTCAACTACTGTTAGCAATTTCGCATAATAAAATTATTGTCTGTGATTATTATTCGATTCTCGATTATTCATAATGTTCAAAATTCCCGCTTCTCGCCGAACAAAACCGAACTCTCCGTGTAGGATCCGAATGCTTCCTGAGGTTTTCGAGTTTTAGTGTCGTCTGAACAGGCGGCGAGACAACGGACAACGGAGTGGGGAAAGCGCTACGGCGAACGTAGCTGCTTCGGTCGATACCGTCAATGGTCGTATTTAAACAGCTTAAAAATAATAGGATATAAAAGAAGCAGGTTTTTTGAAACAGTTGCGGGCATAACGCCTGGCGGTCGAGATAACAGGAGTGGGAAAGGAACGCCGCTGCATCGGTCGATTGTCGATGGAGGCTCGCAACGGGTTGGAGAAGCAGTCATTTTAGATACGTTGTTTTTCAACCTGTTACGAGCATAACAGGGCGGTGGTCGAGATAATCGGAGTGGGAAAGGAACGCTGCTGCATCGGTCGATTGTCGATGGAGGGTCGAAACAGGTTGGAGAATAACGATTCAGTTGTTTTAGTTACATTGTTTTTCAACCTATTACGAGCATAACGGGCGGAGGTCGAGATATTATGGCGCTGTATGTTTCAGTACTTACTTATTAAGTTTCAATATTTAGGTATTTATTTATTCTGAAAAATTTTCAGAATATTTTAAGATTTTTAAAAATGTATACAGGGTGTTTTGAAAAATCTATCATGGATTAATCACGATCCCAAGCTTAAAGCCCTTTGACGTAAAAAGCTGATTTTTGGAAAACGGATTGACTTTAGTGAGTAGAGGTTCGATAAGAAGGGATTTTTCGAAACTCGAATTCTAAGGGGGTGAAACTACTCTCAAATATTAGAATATTTTTTATTTAAAAACCGGTGATTTTTTCGGAAAAACTCTTAAAACATGTATATTTTATTATGTTGTTTTACATATTTTAAGATTTGTTAAAAATATATACAGAGTGTTTCATAAAATATAACCATTGAGTAATATTCTGCTTAAACTGCTGGGCGTTTAAGAGTCCATTTGCGCTACACCGCTCGGGTCGGTCTCAGGGGTCGGGTAGAGCGGGTGTGCTGTGGAAGGCGGTCCGTTCACGATCCCCACCGCCTGATTTTTGGTCGGACGCATTCAGTGTAAATCACATCTGAATATTTCCCATATTTATTTCAGTGGAGTAAAAACGATATCAAAAGTGTCAAAAATTTTTTTGGAGGTATAACTACATGATATCTATACAGGATTATCAGTTAGGCCTTTGTGCATGTGAAATAACTAATTACGACCTTTTTGGGGGTGTCAGAAATTTTTTAACTAGCAAAATGTCAAAAATGTATAACCATGTTTTTTTATCTTTCCTACGCGATAACTCCTAAACTAATCAACTTATTCACAAACTCTTTTTTTTAATCGATTGAGAACACATAGGCGGTGATAGCTGAGGTAATTAAAATTCCATAGTGAGTGTATTTTTTTTGGAAAATGGATTAAACTTCAAACATTAACTTTATTGTATCATGATTTTCGGTAAGCGAGAAACTTTTTTATTTGAAGGAATTTTTACATAGTATCTGCGTATGAAATAAAGTAAAAATATTGAAAAAGTTTTTGAAACTTGGTACAATTTTCTAATGCTAATACTTTTCTTGTTATCCTAAATTAAGTTTACGAATAGGCCGCGCGCGAGACCACTCGGGCCTCGCCGCCCGAGACTTTGATTTTATATGGCGACACGGCGGACGCGATGTTCCGTAGGCCTATTTCTGATTATTGTATTGTACCTGCAGTTTGAAATTTAGTTAATTCAGTACGTTATAAATTATTTAGTTATCGACTCTTTAATTTGCAGAAAAACTATAAACAAAAATGATAGGCTTTTTAAATCCTATTATAACGAAACCTAAAAACTATCATAATCATAAATGCTGCGGAAAAAGGCAAAATGATGTATGCTTAATATATTAATTAATAATTGTATATATATTATATTAACAATTATTAATATATTATATTAACAAAAAGAAAACTAGATAAATAGAACGGTTTTGATATTATAATATTTTTGATATGTGATAAAATAGGAAAAAAGGGCAAACATCACAAATTAACATCTAGACAAACAGGTATCTTATGTTGTAACCTATTTTAATAAGATTTTTTAATAAATTCATTGATAATAAAATTGATATGATCGCTAAAATTCCATAGTCAGTATTTTTTTTGCCAATAGAGCTGAATAATTTATCATAAACCAGAATAATTTTAATTATTCTTATTTACCGTAAATATAAAAATAATAATAATATAATTCCATTACATAAATAATTCTATATAATTCTACAGAATGTCCCCGGATTTGTGGAAAAACAAGTGGAAAAACTTTTTTATTATTGACATTTTGAGAAAAATGTATTCTTCATAAAAAATTTTGCTTGTTCTAAAATGGTTAATCCCGTTTATACTTTTCCAAATTTCCATACCGTTTGTATATTGTTGAATTTTTTCAGTCTTAAAAATCAAGGGGCGTTTCTATGGTAATATAATTTCGATTATATTCTTTGATAGACGGTTATTATTAATTATTGTTTTATTATATGTAAATTTATATATGCATGGGAAATATTGTTGATCGTCATTTCCCAGTCAACTGGACGCCGTTTTTTTTTCGATCATACGGTATATTATGTATTTCAATAAAAGCGACAATACTTAGGCAACAATGTTTTCGATCTAGCGTGGTTTAATGACAAAAGGGGCTCCCTGTAATCCTTTTACCTGTTCAAATTAATTGATTAGTATAATGAGACAAGTCGCTGATTCCTACTATTTAGTGGTTTTCATATTTTATTGCAATGAAAATCGCAGTTTTACGTACACAAAACGCAGATTTAATTTAATTTTTTTTTAAAAACTCAGAGCAAAATTTAAAATGTCATATGTCAAATAGAAAAAAAATATTACAGTCGAAAGTGATAAAATATCCGATTTTTAAAGAAAAATCTCAATGCAATCGGTAATATTTGCCATGACTACCAACATAAAGCTTTTTTAATCTGCCAATTCGTTTATTTAATCAGGAAAGTGTGCTCAAAGGTTTCAAAAAAAAGAATTTTTATTCATTTCCGATAAAGACAATTAAAATAAAAATTCTCCAGCTTTGGCAACATTTGACTTTCAAAGAAATTTTTGTCTATTTTAATTTCTACACCGGGTGCGTCTCAAAAGTGGCTCACCCCTATAACTTTCTTATTTTTTCAGATAAAAAAACGAGATTTGGTATGTTAGTATATGACATAAATTAGGATTGATTGACGTATTCAATTGTTTTTGGTCACTTCTTGTTTCACCGGAAATGACTACAACTTTTGATTCTTAAATGGCACCCCCGGTATTTGTTTACTTTATTCGATAGAAAATGACATTCTGAATATAATGACATATCATATATCATATGTCAACTTTTGAAATTTTCGCTTAAAACGAAATTGAATTTTAAATTTCAATCAAGTAGCCTTGGAAAAATAGATTTGATCGTCTAATGTTTTTAGTGCCTTGTCCTGGCCAGTTAGAAAATGCTCAAATCGTATTTTTAATCATATCTCAATTTTTTCAAATAGAACGAGGGTGGCTAATTAGCATATTTGGGAAAAGCATTTTTTACGAATAATTTGATACCTCACACTTGGTAGTACTGAGTCAAATTATCATTATGAACCGCATGTTATAATTTCCTTTATAATTTCAAATAAACCATATGCGAAAATGTCAAAAGTTGACATATGATATGTCATTCTATTCAGAGTGTCATTTTCTATCGAATAAAGTAAAAAATACCGAAAAAATAGAATATGCCATCAGTTTGCTTAAATAGAACAAGTAACATATAATTCTTACGCCGAAACTGACGATATGACTACAGACAACAAATTGCAGAGCTTCACAATTCAGCATAAAAAATATTTATTAAAAAAATAAAATTAAATATAACTGTAATCAGAAAACCTTTAATTTATGTCTGTATTGAACGGAATTTTAACTTATAATACTCTTTCCAATATAGACATGTCTTATAAACCTTATATTTTTAAATGACGTGTTGAACGATGTGGGGTACCGATTAATTTTGAAGAAAAAAATATTAAACCCTGAACTTAAATTAAAATTTATTTTTAAAT